TGAGTCACCTTCTTTAGAAATCTCCCCACTGTGACATCACAGCCAATAACTAATCCCATTACCAGTTGCTGTTGTCCGGAGTCTTGTCACCAAGAAGGAAGTGTAGTTTGGTTAATTTCTTTGGAAATGCAGGGGAACTACAGGATGTGATTAATCTCAGTGACCGGTACCAGCGTTCAGCAGAAATATTGTTTATTCACCTCATGGTTTTAATTTACTGTTTTGTTTATAAAGCTCAAAACAAGCTTTAAGAAAGACAATTATGAGGTTTTTCTGCCGCACATCCCTAAAATTAAAGTAATGCGTTTGCAAGCTGCAATCTACAAGTAACCAGTAGGCGGAGTTGACAAAACCAGCAAGACACGCTCGCCGTGTCACTCTGTCTCTGGCTTAGAGGTCTTTCACACTATCTACAATACAGCTGCTGTGATCTCAGCATTAACCAGTTACTGACCTCTTCTACTGACGCCATGTTTGTTTTGGTTTTACCCGACAATCCTGGACCCTATCCGGTCTGATTTCAATACTGTGGATCCTACTGGAACACTCCACTACTATATGCAGTGCGGCAGCAAGTGTGTGTGAACAAAGACACAGCAAGTTTAAAAAGCATGCATTTTCCCAGGCTTACAAGTCATTAATTAAAATATGAGTAAAGTTTACCTTTAATTAGTAATCAAATCAATCACTAAAGTGGGAATTCAGGGAAGGAAGGTTGGAGATTCCTGACCAGCGTTGAACTGGCTGACGTGTAAAAACTTTGGCATCTTCAGTAACAAAGTCATTATATTCACTTCTGTTGGTTTTCACCTCAGTAACTGGATCACAGCCAACATGAGGGAACGCGTTGCCACGGTGTTTTTACTTTGGGATAAACGTGCTGTGGTTGTCTTGTGGTGCTAATGCTAGTTAGCCTGGTTTCTGCGAACAGCTGGAAGATCCAGCTTTGAATGTAGTCATGGGCTAGGATGCTACTAGGAGAATCAGGCACTTGTACATACAGAGCGTGGGTTTGTCTCACTAACCAAGTCCTTCTCTGGTCTTGTTTACAGTCACGAGTCTGTGTTGCTGAAGCATCGCTGGTCTCTGCTCCTGAGGTTAGAAAAGTTAGCTTCTCTGTTTGTTGTCCTACTTTATTTTTTTATGAAGACATATTTATCATGACTCACTGTTTAGTGTTTATTCTTAATAGAGAACATAACTCTAACACCAACCCCCCCCCCCCCCCCCCCCCCCCCCCGCCACTCATTTCATGGTTTTGAGGAGGGAATGGCGGCGCTGTTGAAAAATTTACAGAAAGTGTCTCGGTCACTTTCGATAGACAATTAAAAATTGGGCATGTCTCTTTGCGGGCCTGCCGCAGACCCCTTGCATCCACTCATCATGACGTGTGTCTCCGTACCCACACAGATGGAGAAGTTTACGTTAGGTTTGTTCACACCGAATGCATGTGGACCAGTTTCTGTACGACTGCTGGTCGGACCACCATTCACAATGACTACGGTTCATTCATGTCACCAGAAATGTGCTCCCCGTCCCACTGCATTCCACTGTGGAGGCCACAGACAGCTCCTTCAGCGGTAGACTGTAGCCCCCTTAGGACAGGCCATGAAAAACGGAAATGTTTGGGACTCTGTCCGTAAGACCTTTGTGTCTGAATACAAACATCTGGATAACCTTTTCCGTAATTAAACCGGACGACGCCCCTAGTAACAGGACCGGACTTGTCACGGACAAGGTGGCTGCTTCAGACTGGTGAGGTCGAGTTCCGGACAGGGAGGAGGGGGAGGAGGAGGGGACCGGGGGACGCTGTGTGCACCTAGATAGCCCGCTGCTGTAGCATGCGGCGAACCATGGCAGCTCGCATCCTACCGTACCGTCTCCTAGACGTGCGACGGAGCGCTTCACACCGCTTCCGTGATTCCTTTAACCATTGAGCTTCATCATCCAGGTCTCTTTGTGTGCGCAGAATTATGCTTAACATAAGTCCGACCAGTGAGAGGAATTCTATCTCTTCGTCGGCCATGTTTGATTGAATGGCTTTGTTTAGGTAAAGGACGCATGTACGCCCGCCGCACTATGTTTACACAATATCCGGGTACGGCCTTCCCACCCCCTCCCCCTCAGACATCTGGAACTTTCCCCTGCTGTGTGAACGCAGCCGAAAGGACAAGTTCAGGTACAAAAGTGGTGTGTCTGAAAACACAGTTCTGGTTAAAAACCGGACTGAGTTGTTCACACATATTCCAGAATGTCTGTCTGAAAAGGGCTTGAGACGTCCCAGATGTAAAACAAAACGCTACCGTAGGTCATTCATCCCCTCTGCATTAAGAGTGTATAACTCCTCAGTTTAACTGGTACTGGCATTATCCTGGTACACAATAACATCGGTGCAAATTTCAGTATGTGTTCGATATGTGTGAAATACTGGAGGTACATTAGTATGTCTGTGTCACTTATGCTGCACAGTTCTAGAAACCCAAGTTTTCTTTTATTCCTTGTTTCACGTGGTAGAAGGTTACAAAAATAGCTTATGTGTTTGCCTGTAATCTTATTATTTTTCTTCTTACTTTCCTCTAAGTGTTAGTGCTGTTGTAAAAAGTGAACCCCCCCCCCCCCCACTGTGTGATCAATAATGTCTATTCTATCCTAAAAGCCAGACAAAACAATGCAACGTGGGTTATATTTAGAAAAATACCTTGCTGAAACATGTCTCACTTCCTATCTTGTTTGTGTAATCTTTTTAACGTCATGGCAATCTGCATTTGATGAAGAAATAGACTTCAAACGGAAACTTTCCGGCACTCCGCATCCGCATCTGCACTGCAGCCAGTGTGAATGCTCTGAATGGGCTCTGATTTGATCGATGTGGAATCCGTATGAAGTCCGTACCACATCCATATTCAGTGTGAACAAGGCTTCACTCATTAATATTCATGATGATAATCTTATTGGCTAAAGACAAAACAACTCTTCTACTGCCTCCGTTTGGTCTTCGTTTTTGGTTAAAAAAGGCAACGTTGATGTTTAATCTCCACACATAATATAATCCTGAAAATGTTCCTCCATAGTCTTTTTTACAAGACACACGGTGCTGGCAAATCAGCATAATATTACCGCAATGGTGTGTCTTAGAAACACGCCATGCTGGCATGGTGATACGCGACTTTTGGGGCATTTGTTCCGCCTCAGTAATGTTGCGGCAATTGTCTGTCTGACCACTTATAAACAACCTAAAGCTCCCTGACGCCGCTTCAGCGTTGCCACAAATTGACGGCATTGTTTCACACAAACGGCTCATGATGTGGAGTGGCTCGCTAACGGTTAGCTTCTAATAAGTGAGACAGGCCTTCTTCCAAATCACAAGCCAAAGTGGGCGGGGCCACACATTCTAATTTTCCCTGTGACACAAACGAGACCAAGGGTGTTTCTCAATGCCAAGGAACCTTGCATTGATGCCTTGACCCCGCCCCGGTTGCCTAGGAGATACGCCATCGGGAGCCGCCAAGACGTGTTCCAATGTTCATGTTCTACCGAGGCGTGGGTTCTCCGTTTGTTAGCCGTTTAGCTAGCTGAGCAAGGATACACGGGAGGTGTCTTGTAGCCTAGCCTTGGTCAAAAATTACGCAGAATACACCGCGGTATTTTCAAAAGGATGGCGGATCAGAAGCCAACAGCTACTTTGGGGGCAAATTTCAAGTTTAAAAGTAAGACAACTAATTTAAAATGTGTTTTTAGATCCAAAGAAGTTATCTATGGTTGGTTAGTTGCTTAGTAGTTGCAGTTTCGGTGGCTAGCGGGTAGTAACTCACTAATATATTTAATTTAATAAACATATACACAATTTAAAAAGTAAAAGCCTCGTTATATGTTTATGTTTATTTATTTGGCAGACGCTTTTATCCAAAATGACATACAATTTTTTACTTGTAGGGGAAACCGGAGTACCCGGAAGAAACCCACGCATGCATGGGGAGAACATACAACTCCACGCAGAAAGGCCACAGCCAAGTTTCGAACCTGCAACCTTCTTGCAACAGGCAACAGTGCTAACAACTGCGCCACCATGCATATATATTTATATTGAAACCAATACATATAAAATATTACGTTATCTCCCGTGTCATGTGATGTTACGTGACCGCCGTGGAAGCCGTGGTCACATGATGCAAATCTGTTCCATTTAACTGCTTTATTCGACCAAGGAAGGACAGTGTCCTCGTAAGCAAGGCGCCTGGCATTGAGAAACACCCTGCATTTTTCTGACCTGTTTGTTTTCCTGTCTATTTCCTGTGTGCGTTTAATGGTGATAGGGATCGAATAAAAGAATCACATTAATACGCAACTTATTATTATTATTATTATTGTCATTATTATTATTATTATTATTATTATTATTGTCATTATTATTATTATTATTATTATTATTATTATTGTCATTATTGTTATTATTATTATTATTATTATTATTGTCATTATTATTCTTATTATTCTTATTATTATTGTCATTATTATTATTGTTATTATTATCATTATTATTAACATTATTATTATTACTGTCATTATTGTTGTTATTATTATTATTATCATTATTATTAACATTATTATTATTACTGTCATTATTGTTGTTGTTATTATTATTATTATTGTCATTATTATTATTATTATTATTATTATACATGAACTCAATCACACTATTATCCGTGGTGTCAGCTGATGCTGGCTGAGCCGTTCAGTACGAGGTTGAGTTTAGTGAAGAACAGGTCCGACCTGTCTCCAGGAGCCGTTCGGTCACCACATCCATAACTCACTGTCTGCAGCAGCCAAGGAGTGATCGTTATTTTTAAAACTCTTATCAGGAACGCTACGTGATCGAAACACACAACCTGGTGAGGTCACGGTACAGATGACACACCAGTCCGACTCTTTATCTGGTGTTCATTTCATTTCTCAGTTCAAACACAGACAGAATGTTGTATTTAGTTTGTAAAGCACCAAAATCATGTTTGAAATGATTTATTTTAAACAAAAAGACACAGACGTCTTCGGATTTCTAAACTTTTAGCCAGGACCAAGAGGATTTTGTGCTTTCTGAGAAAGAGCTCCGGGATGTTTTTGTATTTTCATGTGAGATATCAAAAGTTGCCCTGAATCACTTCAGTGTGGACTTTTGTTGCATCCTATACCTGGAGCACGACATAGAAACGCTGAACTCCTAAAGCTCCACCTTAGTGAGTCTCTGGACACGCGCTTTAGAGCCGGATGAGACAAATTTGTCCAAGGGACAATCTGAACACTTTGTGTAAAAACATGGGGACAAATCGTTCTGTCGTCCTGCTCCCCTGAGTGTGGAACAGTTAACACATCAGAACCGCTTCAGCTGCACAATAAGTCATGAGGTAGGTGTGTGTGTGTGTGTGTGTGTGTGCGTGCGTGCGTGTGCGTACAGACTAACTGGCTCAGTGCCAGACGTCTTATGACTGATCCAGCTAGAAACACACCTCTCTCTTCCTCATGTTTGAACTTTTCCTCTTCTCTGGTGATTCTTATGCAGAAACTCTTTACGGTTTTTTGTCATTTAGACACAACATGGACACATTTTTACTAAAGAACAACAAAAAGAGCAGTTTTGAGTCACTTGTAGGTAAAATAAGTTTGCTCCTCCCTAAATGTGACTCAGTGACTAAAGAACAGACTCACTGGTCCTAAGAAGGATAGTTAAACTAGTACACACACAAATGTTATCTTTGGAACACGTCAGCGCCCCCTGCTGGCTCCTCACTGAAAGTGGTGGTTAGGGTTCGGGTTCCTCTCAGGTCCCGTTTATGTTCCTCTGTGGTGGATGTCTGTGTTCTCCACAGGCACCTGCAGAGACTGAGGTTTCTCCAGGCTGATCATCAGCGTGGGCTCTCTGCTCATCGGTTCAGGTCGAGGTTGGTTCCCACCAGCAGATGGCGCTAACCCTAGCCCCACAAATGTTTCTTTGGTTTCCTGTTCAGGAAGTGGATGGAGACAGAACTCCTCTCTCTCCTGCTGATCCCAGTAATACCTTTTGACCTTGTGTCTGATAATTCTGACCACCAGGGGAGCTCCGGGGAGCTCAACAGGCACATGGGGGCGTGTTTGGTCGGGGGCGTGTTTTGTCGGGGCCGTGGTTTTTCGGGGGCGTGGTTTGTTGGGGCTGCGTCTGCTGCTAGACCTTAGCTGCAGACGCTGCAGATGTTTGCAGCAAGGCCATCCTGAGATATCTCGATCCAGGTGTCTCAGGATGGCCTTGGACAGGAAATGAGGATCATCTTCATGCTCATCTGGAAGATGGAAGAAAAGACAAACTTGTGTTATCTTATTTTTTCTAAATTCTATCAATTATTTTTTATTAAAATTTGTTCATATGTGACTTTTATTTATTTGGTTACTCGTTAGATTTATTTGTAGGTTTGGTTCAACCAAAAATGATTTGCTCTAATTAAATGTGTGGAACACATTTATTCAACACATTTGCAGCGGTCTCTAGTGGGAATGATTGCCTTGTAAAGCCAGGCGGACACTGTGTGACTTTTTAACTCGTAGCGTTCAGCTTCCTCAGCTCAAATTGTGCGACTTCCTTGCAGAGCAAATCTCACGAGTCTTGTGCTCACACTGTATGACCCAGTTCTCGGATGCGACCTAACTGCGTGGTAGCAACACACCAGACCTGCAAATATGCTGATAATAGCAGATTTTACACAACACGCCGGACTTTTTATTGTGTTGATATTGATGTTTGTTGTCCTTCGGGAGAGCTGTAGGATGACACAGGGATTTATGGGGGTTCGATGAGGAAAACAAAACAAAAAAGTAAATCAGTGTTTTGTGATCAGTTTAATTTGACATAAACACGCTTTCCTGACAGTCCTTGTCAATGTGTGCGTAAAAAAGTGTATAAATAAAAACAAATGACGTGTGTTAATAGGGAAATAGCTGCCGAGCCGTGTTGATGCATGTTTGTGCATGAGCTGTGAGTGCTGGTACTTTTTGGGTCGCAGCACCATTTCAACAGTACGATACCCTCACGAGGAACGGGCAAAATATCAAACATGCCAGAAATCCGTGCGAGCTCGGTAGCTGGTCACGTGGTGTTAATTGCCTCTCGTAACCCCCTGTATACTAGACGCCGCTCAGTGCAAATCTCGCCAGATCTTGTAGATTCTCGAACAAGTGGAAAATTGACTCAAAAAAGAGAGAAAGCAGTACAGTGTACACCCGGCTTAAGTCGTAGTCAGGGAGGAAAAAGCCCAGAAGCGCCTGTGTCAGCACAGAGAAGTCCGCTGGAGGAGAACGCGGCAGAACATGGCAGGTTATGGAGTCTTATTTACTGATATTTGGACATCTCGTCTCTGATTGGCCAACAGCACTGCAGCTCTACCACGGACTCGGTTTGCTTTGCAACGCTGATGTTTTCTATCCACAAATAACACAAGCCTGGAGGAGTTCTGCTGTGTGGTGGAGTTGCTAATGCTAACGGTTATCTTAAACTAGCCGAGACGTTCTTTGCCCTCTCCTGGGTGCTAAACCAACAACAGCCTTCCCGGTCACGAGTCAAGATGGGTGAGTCCATGAATGTTAAGAGACAACGTGACGTAGATCTGTCAGGATTTTCTAATCCTAGAGTTTCATCGTCTATTTTCTATCAGAAACTAATGCAGCAGATGGGTGTAGGAGACTATTGTCATGTTCCGCCTGCATGAAAAACTCAGAATGTGTTCCACACCTTTAAAAGCGTTAGAGACGTTTTAGGGTTAGATGTGTTTCATAACAGAAATGTTCTCTAATTGATCATCTAAACTTTTTTCTTTTCTCCAGCTTTTCATAACACTGTTAAAAATAACGTTTACTCATGAAGTGCAAAAGCAACAGCATGGCAGCCCTCTGAAAGGGAAGTGAATAAAGCTTGAATCTGCTGAAAGCATGCGACATCCTGTGGTGTGTGTGCTACAGTCAGCTCTGGCTTTGGTACCGCTGAGCAGAATGAGTTTGTAGCGGTTGCGACACTCCAGCGACTGCTCCAGAACGTCCTGCAGGGTTCTGTAGAAGAGCAGAACCTGCTGTCTGCGCTCCGGCTCCCCAAAGCCGGCGCTCCTCTCCTGGGACATCCGGTAAAGAGTCAACAGGGGGGTGGCATACTCCACTGCACAGTCATGGGCCTACACACACACACACACACACACACACACACACACAGGACACGTCACACTCAGGGTCGCTCCTGAAACGTGAACAACTGATAAAAATGGGAATAAACCTTAAGTCCTCAGAGGGAAGCCACATCATCACCTGTACACATCAACGTGCACAAGAACACCAGGAGGTTATCGTAGTAATTATCCGTTTATTCCAAAGTAAGGCGTTTTGTTTCACAGATAGATGGCGCTGTTGCAGTGAAATAAGACGCGTGACACCTCAGGTTTAACCAAAAGGTGGCGCTAATGCTGTGGAGGAGAAACCTTCCGTGATGTATTTTTCCACCTGACAACAGGAAATAGTTCTTTTTTCACTGTTTCAACAGAAAAACTGAACAAAAACATGTAGACAGGACTCACTAAGCAGAATATTAAATAAAAATGCTTTAAAGGCTTTGATATTTTCCCTAAAGTGATGCATGATTAGGTCATCTTTACAGTTTGTGTTCATTAGGTTAACTGAGAAACCGTTTTTACTTGTTATTTTGAAATAATGATCGGTCACTGAGTTTAACATGCAGGCTGAACATGAAGATAGTCTCCTACACCTATCTCCTGCATTAGCTTCTAATAGAAAACAGACGGTGAAACCCTAGGATTAGAAAAGTCTGACAGATCTACGTCACACGGTCACATGACATTCATGGACTCACCCATCTTGACTCACGCCGACGACGGCTGTTGTTGGTTTAGCGTCCAGGAGAGAGGATATCACGTCTCAGATAGTAGAAGCTAAGTGTTAGCATTATCAACTCCACCACACAGCAGAACCCCTCTACGCTTGTGTTATATACAGTTTGCTAGATCAGCTGATCTAGTTCAAAAAGAAAAACTCGCGGCACGTGTTGACTTTCATTTACAATATAGTTGCCAGCCGGAGCTCGGCAGTGCCTCCCCACGTCATCATGACACCACCCTCTGTAGCACCAAGGGGCAAAAGCCATTTATAAGACATACAATTACCGCAATATCACTACCAAGCAAGGCAGAATGAATGCCGCAAGATTCATGCATCACCATGCCGGCATGGCGCATTTATAAGACACACTGATGTTACACTGATTTGCCGGCACGATGTGTCTCATAAGAAGGGTTTTATTTACTGACGTTTGGACATCTCTCCTCTGATTGGCTAACAGCAGCACAACTCTACCACTGACTTGGTTTGCTCTGCAATTTTGATGTTTTATCTCCATAAATAACACAAGCCTGGAGGAGTTCTGCCATGCGGTGCAGTTGCTAATGCTAACTGTTAGCTTCTGCTAGCCAAAATGCTCTGTGCTGTTTCCCTGGACGCTAAACCAACAACAGCCTTCCCCGTCGCGAGTCACGATGGGTGAGTTCATGAATGTTAGTGACAGTGTGACGTAGAGCTGTCAGGATGTTAAAATCCCAGAGTTTCACCGTCTGTTCAGGAAGCTAACGCAGGAGATAGGTGTAGAAGATTATTTTCATTTTTCTAAATTAATAATTAAAAATTTTTCTCTGTGAACCTGCTCTAAGAACATTTTTACTGTGATGGTGGCTTTGACCTAGCTCTTCTGTTGGTTGACTCTTGGTTGTTTTACAGCTCTCTATAAGGAAAAGATGATGATGATGTAAGATTACATCTAATTTAAGTTTTATGTAAAAAAAAAAAAGTAATCAGAGTAGATTTAGTTGTGTCGGCTTGTTTAATTTGTCTTAAATGTTTGAGTGGAAGTTAAAAAATGTTTTTGTCAGACTGGAGCTACATCGCCATAATCCACCTGACCTACCGCCCCCTGCCCGTCCTTCACTCTGTAGACGCTGTGTTTATAGACCCGGCCCCGGACTCCGGCCCGGTCTATCTCGTTGTTTGGGAGGTTTTCCAAAAAACTGATGTTGTCATCTTCGTCTTCCAGCTTGTGTGAGATGTTGGCGCTCAGAGGGACGAGGATGAGGAGCTTCCTGGAGCCACGGCTCCAGAGGGGGGTGCTGCGGTGATGTGCAGCACAAAACGCAGCGATGGAGTTCTCCAGGCCTGAACAGACACGTGTAAACTCAGACCTAAAGCAGAACCTCCTCATTATGTCCAAACGATCTCACTTTGACATAAAAATAGAAGGTAAAGAAAACAGGATGTGTGTGTTTTGTGACATTTTGTTGTTACTAACGTGGCAGAACCAGCTGCAGGTAGCCCAGGTAGAAGGACCAGGCCAAGCCGTGAGCCACATTCATCTTCCTCCCCTCGCAGATGCCTGACACCTCCACCTCCGACGGACCCTGCACACCCAACAGCCAGAAACACGTCACTGAAGCCCACCTCTGCTCAGGAGAATCCAGACACCTTTAAAAGAGCGCTGGTCAGAAGAAAAGGGCATCCCCATGTCTCTGCTGCCCTTTCCTTCGTAGCATGGGTGTATTTTTAGATTTAAGTCAAGAACACTGACGGAAGTAGACCCGACTGTGAGATCTGACCATGTTCAGTATCGTGTGGCTGAGTGACGGTGTGAGCACATTTCTGCTGCTAAAGACCGGTTTGAGGTGGTTTTTACTGTACAAACGCATCAGGATGTCTCTCGTCGGGACTTTTCTCTCTAAACACTCTGATCACTTTAACCAAGCTGCAGACATGAGATTGTTAAAATTATATATGAATACTTTTAAGAAAATGTATCTAAAAACAAAATAAAGAAATCACAAATGTCCAGAGCTAAATCAGTCATTGGTACTTTTTAATATGGGGTTATGTGAATTATAACGGACACTGACGGGTGGCTAAAGCCAGACGAGGCAGTTTGTCCTTGCTTTTAGCACCACCTGGTGTCTGTTTGGTAGAAACAAAAGTACAACGTATCTCCTCGCTGTCTGTTCGTCTTTTTAACAAAGCTGAAATGTCTTCCCAGCCTTCATTAGTTTCTGCAGAGGTGGTTCATAACTAAATCAAACAAATCAGCTGTGTTCATGATGTCACAAATGCAGGAGACGTGCTGGAAGCAGATCGGACCGGCACTGTGAAGTTGCAGAAGCGGTATGCTTGCCACAGATGGCGGTGGGGGTCTGAGGGACATTTCATTAACCATGTAAAGGGTCATTTTAGCACACATTGGCTCAAGGAAATTATTTTTTAAAAGTTGTAAAGTATCCCTGTAAAAGGACTGCTGTTTGCTGAGTTTGCTGACAAGTTAAGCCGCATGTCGGACATGATTAGTCACTTATGGCGATGGATCTTCAGGATTCCTTCAACAGATTTAGAAACTACACAACCTTCAAAACCAGCAGCCTCCAACACCAAGTGTGAAGCTCACCATGACTCCCAGGCTTTTGAGGAGGGCGTAGACGGCAGGAACCAGAACAAGGAGCTCCGAGCACTGGTCTCTGGGCGGTAGAAGCTGTTTGGTCAGGTACAGGAAGAGACCTGCCAGCCCTGCAGCCAGCAGGGTTTTACCCCACAGACCGCAGGCTGGCAGCATGTGACGACATGCCCGGTACCTGCCAAAAACAGAGGGGGTCAGATCTGGATTAGCAGTAAGAGACCAAAGATGACCCACTAAGAGACAAATCTAAGACATCTGCTGAGGGACGCATGTATTTTATTTCTAAAACAACAAAAAAAGTTCATAGTCCAAGTCCATATCTATAACCATTCCCTCATCCATGTCCATATGACCATGTCCAAGTCCAGGTCTAATTCCCCATCCATGTCTGTGTCCAAGTCCAAGTCCATATCTATAACATTTTACTCTCTTTGACATTGAAGTGCAACTACTAGTTTACCTGCTGAATTAATTATAGGTTTACCAAGATAAAGACAATAAAGTTGATCTCTTACTGAATACAATACTGACCGAGAAATCACAATGTGGCCATAGAAACACCACTTGGTATATATGGTGTGTGTGTGTGTGTGTGTGTGTGTGTGTGTGTGTGTGTGTGTGTGTGTGTGTGTGTGTGTGTGTGTGTGTGTGTGTGGGTATGTGTGTGTGTGTGTGTGTGTGTGTGTGTGTGTGTGTGTGTGTGTGTGTGTGTGTGTGTGTGTGTGTGTGTGTGTGTGTGTGTGTGTGTGTGTGTGTGTGTGTGTGTGCCTGCTCTGTCTTCTCCATCCCCAGTGAGTCGTGGAGGATGGCTGCTTATACTGAGCCAGGATTCTCTGGAGGTTTCTTCCTGTTAAAAGGGAGTTTTCCTCTCCACTGTCGCTTTATGCTTGCTTAGTATGAGGATTGCTGTATAGTCACTCTCACTAGTCAGTGACTCAATACAATTTGCTGGGTTTCTTATATAGGAAACATTATTTCTGACTGGCTTAATGAACTGACCTGTAATGGAGTGTTTATTATGTGAAGTGCCTTGAGACGACTCTTGTCGTGATTTGGCGCTATATAGATAAACTTGAATTGAACTGAATTAGCTTGTTCCATGTGGCTCCTCCCTGTGAGGGGAACTCCAGAAACCACCATGAGAGTCTACCAAATGCTTTCCTGCAGGGTTTATGCAGAACACCATCACAGAGCCTCACCTTGTGTTCGAGTGGTGCCGCAGCTCCTCAGCCAGCAGACAGAGTCCGTGCAGCAGAGGCCCTAGTGTCACCATGAGAGCTGCTAAGGCCACCATGCCCAGAAAGCTGTCCGGAGACGAAACCACAACCCCCATGGTTGCTAAGGCAACCAGCCCTGCAGCATAGAGTTTAGGCAATTCCCCCCGAGGCCGAGGGATGAGCGCGTCCTGATCTCGGAGCGTTTGCATCTTGTCTGATTGCCCTGGGGAGAGGAACGGGCTGACTGTATCAGCTTCGTACATTTAGGTTTTTGTCAAGCCTCCTGTTAGTAGAAGTCAAAGCCAGAAATAAAATCTGCTGATGGATCAGATTCAACCCAGATCTCTCTGAGGACCTCAGATGGCCTGCAGGCCTCTCTTTGGACCCTAAACCTAACCCTACCCCTTTGGGTGTTTTTGGTCAAATTATTAAAATTCGGACCACTTTTAAAATAACTTCCAAATACAAAACAGACACGTGGTTCCCCGGGTCTGACCTGTCTGTCTGAGCCCTTTGTGAGTAACCCTGGCGCCGTGAGTCCTCATCACTGATAGACGAATAAACCGTGACTCACCTCGGTGTGTCGTCTCTGATCTGAGATGTTCTGAGCTCACTCTGCCTCCATCCCTCTCAGCACAACCCTTTCTATTTCCATCTATGTATGAACTCTGTGTAACCATGGCAACTCTGACCACACCCAGATGTCACGAGTCAAAGCAAGGCATGGTCCATACCACCCTATGTTACACATTTCCTACTAGAGCTCCCCTCCCCATGATCATCACACACACACACCTGATCTTCAGGTGTGTGTGTGTGTGTGTGTGTGTGTGCAGTATCAAAACTCGTTACAAAATCATGAAAATTAAGGGTTAAATTAAACATCCATCTGACCCGCTTGTTGACCCTTTCACTTCCACTTTGCCTCAGCGTTTTTCCACAGAAGTTCCTTCCTGCCATGACTTCCTTAAAATAATTGAACAAACTTAGTTCCGTTTTAGGACAACGATCTCTAGATTAATGAGATTATTTGGTTCTCGTCTCTGATTTTGATGTTTCTAATAATTTTTTTTATTGCTTCACTACTAACTTCCTGTGCGTGAAACAAATATGAGTTGTGAGACTGGTGGTCTGGGATGACAGAAAAAGGTTGGTAAAACCAAAACTGAATGACCAGTTTCTGTTTGACCAAACCAAATTGTGGTTTGTCACTTCTCGATTTCTTCACTAGTCAAACTGGTCCAGTCAGCAAAAAGGGGAATACTCCAGGTCTTTGATGTGGGTTTATATGAAAATGGAACAAACACAACCCCAGTTTAGAGAAACAGGGTTTAGCAAATGGCAGTCCATGTAAACATAATTTTCTAGTGATGGAAACTCAAAAAGACCTGAAGAAACATGAGTCTACTTATTAATTTATGTTTACTTTTTGTAAAAACTATAAATATCTATTAATATAATTCATTTATTTTAATTAACATTTGTTGATATAATAAATTATTAACATTTATATAAATATAAAATTTGGCATTTTTACATTTAAAACATTCAAATATACACTAAAACGAGGCAAGACAGCTTTATTTGTGCAGCACATTTCATACACAGAGGCAATTCAGTGTGCTTTCCATTAGCGAGAATAGTGACAGCACAAATAAAAAACACACAAAATCATTTCAGGTAAAAGAATTAAAATAGACAAAGTTAAAGAGCAAGTCACCCCTATCAGTGTCTAACTTCACTCTCATTTCCTGTTTGAAAAATGGGGCACAAGGAGGCGTTGCCTGGCAGACCAGGAGATCAGAGCCGCAAACAAATACACACGCACACACACACACACGCGCAACACACACACACACACTGGCTCACAGTGGCATTGCTACATCATAATGTACCAGGTAACGTCACAGGTACCTCTTGGCTAATAAAGATAGCCATTTTGAATTCAAATGTAGTGCAGAGTTTTTACCTGGGCTGCCACCTTACCGTGGTGGAGGGGTTTGAGTGTCTCAATGATCCTAGGAGCTAAGTTGTCTGAGGCTTTCTGCCTCTGGTAGGGTCACCCATGGCAAACTGGTCCTAGGTGAGGGATCAGACAAAGAGCAGCCCGAAGACCTCTTATGATGGATTATATAAATGGAAACTGTGTTCCCTCGCCCGGATGTGGGTCATCAGGGCCCCCCTCTGGAGCCAGGCCTGTAGGTGGGGCACATTGGTGAGCGCCTGGTGGCCGGGCTTTCACCCATGGAGCCCGGCCGGGCATAGCCCGAAGAGGAAACGTGGGTTCCCCTTCCCATGGGCTCACCACTCGTGGGAGGGGCCAAAGGGGTCAGGTGCAGTGTGTGACGGGTAGTAGTCGAGGGCGGGGACCTTGACGGTCTGATCCTCGGCTACAGAAGCTGGCTCTTGGTGCATGGAATGTCACCTCTCTTGGACCAATTCTTTTTACTATATATATGCTCCCAATTGGTAAAATCATTAGACAGCATGGGATAAACTTCCACTGTTATGCTGACGATACTCAGTTATATTTATCCATTAACCCTGATGAACCTAATCGGTTGGGTAGATTACAGGCTTGTCTTGAGGACATAAAAATTGGATGACTCTAAACGTTTTGCTTTTAAATCAAGACAAGACGGAAGTTCTCATCTTTGGACCAGAAATCCAGAAAAGGAAATTGCTTAGCCAGTCGCCTGACCTTAATGGCATTACATTAGTCTCCGAGAACAAAGTAAGGAACCTTGGTGTTATCTTTGACCAGGACATGTCATTCAAATCCCAGGTTAAACAGGTTTGTAGGATTTCCTTTTTCCACCTTCGGAATATTGCTAAGATTAGAAGCATCCTTTCCAGGAGTGATGCTGAAAAACTAGTTCATGCATTTATTACATCAAGACTGGATTACTGTAATTCATTACTCTCAGGAAGTCCACAGAATGTAGTTAAAAGTCTTCAGCTTGTCCAAAATGCTGCAGCTAGAGTTCTGATGAGAATTAAAAAGAGAGCTCATATCTCTCCTGTCTTAGCTTCCCTACATTGGCTGTCTGTTAAATTCAGAATAGATTTTAAGATCCTTCTTCTCACATATAAAGCTCTTAATAATCAAGCTCCATCATACATCAGTGATCTGATTGTTCCATACGTTCCTAACCGAGCACTTCGCTCTCAGACTGCAGGTTTACTGGTGGTTCCCAGAATATCTAAAATTAGGATGGGAGGCAGATCTTTTAGTTATCAGGCTCCTCTCCTGTGGAACCAGCTCCCAGCTTTAGTCCATGAGGCAGACACCTTGTCTACTTTTAAGAATAGGCTTAAAACATTTTTATTTGATAGGGCCTATGGTTAAAATCTGATGTTAGCCTAAATCTGGACAAGTGGGGGAGTAGAGGGAGGTGGAGTGTACAGTCGGTAAAGATGGCTCTCCCTTGCCCTGACTCCAACATGCCTCCATCTAAAAGGCTAGGTTATCCAGAGTTATCTCTGTAGTTATGCTGCTATAGGCTTAGACTGCTGGAGGACACATTGACCACTTTTCACACTCTACTACTTTCTTCTACAATCTGCTCTTTAACTGTATTGTAATATCCTCAAGCAGACACAGTGACATCCAGAGAGTAGGGTCTCGGTTGAACCTCGGTTGTTCTCATCACACCGAAGCACCACAGCTTACGTTACACACACATGAATGAAGTGCCCCGGACCAAGCTAAACAGTACTACCAGAATGGAGCATTGGCTCCCCCTAGAGGCGTCATGAAGTAGTTTCCTACCTCAACTACTACACCCCCCCCGCCCCCCCCCATCCAGACAAAAACAAAGATGAAAAATAACACCATTTCCCATAAGCTAAAACCCACACCCCGAAAAACCACCACAAACCGTAACAACCCTGTAACCATGCGAGTATTATTATGGGTAGCAAATTTTTTTTTTTTTAATATATAGTAGACCTTAATAACATACAGCAAGAACAAACAACAGTTTCACATGACACTCCCACTTAACTAATTAGGGAATTCGGGTAGACCACCTCATCCCAGCGAGCTTCCAGGGCGCATTCTTGCCCTTGCCGTGGAGCTCACCACTAACTAAGAATAGTCACTCAAATACGCAGGAGGCCTCCTGCTTCTCTGCGATCTCCTCACTTCTGGTTGTCCCCCTGCCGGCACCGCCTCTACCCTCTCCGGCCACGATGCTGTTGTCAATGGATCGTCCGAGTCCACTTGGCCGGTTGATTCCGTTGCGGCTGTGCTGTTTTCATTCAGGACAGGAGACAACACCGGAACATGTTCTGTTATTTCCGATAGGGGCGACCTGTGACGCACCTGATCGATATGTCTTCTCACCACATTCCCATTTCCTAGTGCAACTTTGCATGAGACAGGACCCGTCATCGCAGCAAAAGCTCCCGGAACCCAGCGTGGACCCGAACCAAAGTTCCGAGTGTAGACCAAATCTCCTTCATCCAGCATCCTGTCCCTGGCATGCATGTCATGATAATACTTTTGCTTCCCTTGTTTACCAATAAGTCTGCCTTTGAAATCGGGGTGTAAGAGATCCAAAGTTGATCTTAGTTTCCTTCCGCATAGAAGTTCAGCTGGTGACTTGCCTGTTGTTGACTGAGGAGTAATGCGATAACAAAACAGAGCTCGGGCCATTTTAGTCTCCACTGACCCCCCTGTGCTTTTTTTCATCAATGACTTAAAAGTCTGAACGGCGCGCTCTGCCAACCCATTCGAAGAAGCATGGTATGGGGCTGTGGTGATGTGGCGAATCCCATTTTTTTGTGTGAATTCCTGGAACTCCTCACTGGTAAAACAGCGGCCATTGTCGGACATGATTATTTCAGGAATGCCATGGTGACTAAAACTCTGTCTGAGGCATTCAATGGTCACAGCTGATGTAGACCTGTTTACCGCGTGAGCTTCAATCCACTTCGAATATGCATCCACCACAATTAAGAACCACTTGCCCATGAATGGCCCAGCATAATCCACGTGGACCCTCCTCCAGGGGTTTTCAGGCACCTCCCAGGGGTGTAAAGGTGCCACTGCGGGATTATTTCGGTTTTCCTGACACACGGCACACCCCTTCACCATCAACTCCACCTCTTCATCCAAGTTTGGCCACCACACGTAGCTGCGTGCCAACCCTTTCATCCTGGTCATTCCTGGATGGGCGCGATGAAGCTGTTTCAGCAGACGTGCACGACCCTGTGGAGGAATAACCACACGCCCTCCCCACAATATGCAGCCTTCCTGTGTGCTGAGCTCCTCCTGACGCCTGACGTAAGGTAAAAATGCCGCGTCCTCTACCTTTCGAGGCCACCCTCTTAATATGTACTCTCGCACCCGAGCCAGCACAGGGTCTTTGTCTGTCCAAAGTTTCACCTGCTGTGCAGTCACCAGGGATGTGTCACTGTCCTCAAACAGCAGGACTCTTTCCCCCTCCTCTGAGCCTGCGTCAGCCCCCTCGCTCATTTCAGTCAACGGCAACCTGCTCAGGGCGTCTGCATTGGTATGATTCTTCCCTTCCTTATACACAACGGTGTAATCGTATGCCCCAAGCGTGACTGCCCATCTCTGGATGCGAGGTGACGCCAACTGTGGTACAGCCCTGAGCTCGCTGAAAAGTGAAATTAACGGCTTGTGGTCTGTTGTAATGGTGAAACGTTTCCCATACAAGTACTTGTGGAACTTTTTCACCCCAAACAGTACCGCCAACCCCTCCTTATCTAACTGTGAATAATTTTTTTCCGCCGCATTGAGCGTTCGAGACACAAATCCTATGGGTCTTTCCGAGCCATCGGCCAACTGGTGAGAGAGCACCGCCCCCACTCCATAAGGTGATGCGTCACATGCTAGGAGGAGGGGTTTTCCTGCATCATAGTGTACCAATACCTTGCAAGATTGCAACAGAGACTTGGACTCTTCAAAGGCTTCCTGTTGTTTTGGGCCCCATGACCATTTCACCTCCTTCCTCAGCAGTAGGTGAAGAGGAGCTAGCAGAGTGGATAGGTTTGGTAGGAACCTGTGGTAATAATTTAAGAGTCCCAAGTACGCCTTTAACTCTGTGATATTTTGTGGTGCTGGAGCTTTTGCGATGGCCTCCCCCTTTTCTCTCAGAGGATGTAATCCTGCCGCATTTATTCTGTGCCCCAAGAACACCACTTCCCTGGCCATGAACTCACACTTGCTTCTTTTTAATCTTAACCCACTATTTCCCAACCTTAGGAGGACCTCGTCAAGGTTTTTTAAATGTTCTTGTTCACTTGGCCCTGAGATGAGTATGTCATCCAGATACACTGTGACATTCGGAATTCCTCCTAATATGCTCTCCATCGTTCGCTGGAAGATGGCAGGACTGGAGGCCACCCCAAACGGCAGCCTGGTGTATGTGTAAAGGCCCTTGTGTGTGTTAATGGTGACATATTTCCTGGACCCCTCGTCCAACACAATCTGTTGGTAGGCATGACTCATGTCCAGTTTTGTAAAGTACTGTCCCCCTGATAACTGTGCAAAAAGATCCTCCACCCTTGGAATAGGATATTGTTCCAACTTGGAAGCCTGGTTTATTGTGAGTTTGTAATCCCCACAAATTCTAATGGATCCATCTGGTTTCCGGACGGGGACAATAGGGGCAGCCCATTCGGCAAACTGCACAGGCTCAATGATCTTCTCCTCCTCTAGCCGTTGTATTTCTTTCTCCAACAATGGTTTTACTGCATAGGGTACTGGCCTTGGCTTATAAAAGCGTGGTCGAGCCTCACTGTCCACATAAATCTGGGCTTGCATGCCCTTCAGAGTTCCCAAGCCTTCTTTAAAAACCCCTGAGTGTTTCTTTAGCACACACTCCAGTTTTTCTGTGGGCGCCAGCCCTACGTTGTTTACCAGCTGCTCTGCCATCGACAGCTCCTGCAACCAGCTGCGCCCCAGCAGGTTTGGTCCAGCCCCATCCACTACAACCACAGGTAGTGTTTTAAGAGCATTCCGGTCCTCTACCTCTACTTGCGCCATTCCCAGGACTCCCAGCTTTTCCCCTGTATACGTTTTCAAGATTAGTGAGCATGGGCTTAGACCCGATTTGGCAGTTTTGTTACAAAGCAGAGAATATTGTTGTTTGCTCAAAATGGTCACCCCACATCCTGTGTCTATCTCAAACAGTACGGCCAAGCCATTTATGTTGACCATGCGTGTGATGGGAGTGACCTTTGGTAGGCCACCCGACACATTGTAAATGGTATTAATGCCATCAGATTCTTCAGAGTCACTCCCCCCCTCTGTTCTCAACAAATGTGTCTGACTGCCTCTATTTGGGTCTCTCCGTCCCTCCTTTTTGCTCAGGGGCCCCTTTTTTTGTTCCTCCTGCGGACCCCACTTGGACCTGCAGGCTCTTTTAATGTGACCCCTCTTGCCACAACCGTGACATCGTTCAGCTGCAAACCTGCACTCAGTGGCCAAGTGTCGTCCGTTGCAACGAAAACAGCTCGGACTTTTCAGCTGAGCCTTGTCCATTGAAATCTTGTGGACTGTCCCCTGACTCCTTGACACACGAGAAGCTGGAGTCACCTCGTCCCCCAACATCTCCTGCAAGTCCCAAACATCCTTAGAGGCAGACTCCATTGCCTGGCACAACGTAAGAGCTTTGTCAAACGTCAGGTCCACTTCAGATAATAGCCGGCGCTGCATCCTGTCATCATTCACTCCACACACCAACCTGTCCCTCAGGATTTGTGGCAAAGCCGCTCCATAGTCACAGTGCTGGGCCAGTTTCCTCAACTCAGCCACATAATCTGCCACCGACTCCTCATGCCGCCGCACCCGTGACTTAAACATAAACCTCTGTACGATCTCACTTGGTTTAGGACTGAAATGCAACCGCAGTGTCTGCGTCAACTGTACATACGTCTTGTCTTTCGGTGCCTCCGGGCTCAACAGGTTTCTTAACAAGCTGTAGGTAGCCGGACCTACACCGCTCAGCAACACGGCTTTCTTCTCATCAGCATCCGTTATCTCATTAGCCTCGAAGAAAAAGTCAAGCATTTCGCTATATTCTTCCCATGACTGTAAGTCGCCGTCAAACGGACTCACCGACCCAATCACCGCCGCCATTTTCCCCCTTTGTGTCGTCCAAAGGCGAGTAGATGCCCCGCTCCAGACACGTCCTCCGGACCGACTGGCCGTCTATTCCCGCCGCAGAGAACTACACCAGACTTTATCCTCGTCGCCAATTGTGTAATATCCTCAAGCAGACACAGTGACATCCAGAGAGTAGGGTCTTGGTTGAACCTCGTTTATTCTCATCACACCGAAGCACCACAGCTTACGTTACACACACATGAATGAAGTGCCCCGGACCTAGCTAAACAGTACTACCAGAATGGAGCACTGGCTCCCCCTAGAGGTGTCATGAAGTAGTTTCCTACCTCAACTACTACATGTATTATTTCCTGTTTTTTCAGCTGTTAACTTTATTTTTTCTTTAAGTGTTTTTCTCCCCAGAAGAAGCTACATCGATGTTCTGCTGAGGTGTGGTGGCCTCATGGAGGGGGCCATCGTCTTGAACACTGTTGCTAACCACTAAAACATTCTCCTTCCCAATTTGCTGGGTTCCTTACGTAGGAAACATTTTTTCTGATTGGCTTAATGAACTGACCTGAATTGGAATGTTTATTATGTGAAGTGCCTTGAGACGACTCTTGTCGTGATTTGGCGCTATATAAATAAACTTGAATTGAATTGAATTGAATAGTTGCCACCCATCTTGGTGCCTGTACGTTGGGGTTTACCCAAGCCCCCACAATGCGGCTCAAAAATTGAGGCCAACCCGGAAATACCAAAAATTGCAGTTCCACCCTCATCCACTAGGGGCTGGTGTCAGAAGCGAGCAAATCCTCATTGACTCCCATGTTAAAAATACCAAATTCACAGCAGAAATAAACATGTTTACAGCCTGGTACCAGAACATGTTTTAGGTTTAAATGATCTAGTTTACACTCATGACAACTCTGAGGGGGGTGAATTTTTTTCTCACTCTTCTGTTTAAGTGTATTAAAAGCCTAAAATTCTGTATAATTAATGAGCATCAGACCCACGTGACCACAGAGCTAGCTCCGTGGAAAGGCCTCAGTAGAGCCTCGGTCTGGTCTGGAAACTGTTCCGGGATTTTGAGTCTCTGTGTGCGTGTATTCTTGTTTGGATATTTTTGTGCATTTGTTGGACAAAATGACTTGCTGTGGCATTAATTGCACTAATAGAGCGTCCAAGGAGTCTCCACTTCATTTTTTCGGTAAGTAAAATTATATTTATGTATTTTAGGTCACTGCCGAGCTGAGCTTAGATGTTAACATGTACTGTTTAACCATGACATTTAAATGTAATAGGGTAAAACCCAGTGCATTTAACATAATGCTGCACTTTAGAAAATGGGTTGAAATATAACATGTTGGTGGAGCTGGGTTCCCACTATCGCCTTGTGGAGCTCTCGGGAGACCGATGTTTTCCACCCGGTTTTACCCAGCGGTCAGCCCGGCGCATCTCTGACTCAGAAGCTCTGGTGTTGTGCACAGTTAACTCTGGTTGTAGTTAGGTTGCTACATCTTTTAGCTTAGCTCCCACCTCTGCGTTAGCTTTGGGTTAGCTTCAGGTTAGCTTGTAGCTAGTTCGACCGGGTGTCGTCAGTTGATCCCAGCCTTACAGCCCCACCCTCAGCTCCTCCTCTCTTCTCTTTTGTGGAATTGTCTGGGCTTGGGAACCTGTGACACGGTCAAAATGGCGGTGGTGGCCACCTCCCATTTGGCCTCAAAAATGTGTTATTGGAGTCTATGGAAACCCATTGTACACACACACACACACACACACACACACACACACACACATATATATATACACACACATATATATATGTGTGTACATATATATATGTGTGTGTGTATATATATATATATATATATATATATATATATATACACACACACACATATATATATATATATATATATATATATATATATATATATATATATATATATATATATGTGTGTGTGTGTGTGTGTGTGTGTGTGTGTGTGTGTGTGTGTGTGTGTGTGTGTATATCGATGGTTACCCTTTCAGAGATACCACTGACAGGTGTGAGGAAGACTACGGGAGACAGGGCCGGTTCTAGGTAATTTGGTGCCCAAGGGGAAACTGCCCATGAGCAACCCCCCCCCCTCCTCCGTGCCTGCGTGCTTCTCACCCAAACCCAAGTCCACCCACCCACCACACATTGGAAAAAGCAACTCCACAGTTATTCCTTAGTTACTAATTTTTTATTTTAAATATTCACACAGCAACTCTTTAAAGTCAACAGCCTGAAGAATAAATGTAAGCTTGAAAGATAAGTAACCTGAGAATTTACAATAACCAACAACTCAAAATGTTGTGCAAATGGCATTGGGGGGGGGGGGGGGGGGGGGGGAATACAAAATCAAAAGCAGCATTAAACTGTTAAATCAAAAGCAAAACTCAAATATCAAAGTGTCATCATAAAGAAAGTTCTACTTTCCATTTTGTTCTACTGCTGTGGCCAGTCAGCAGGATCCATGGGGCCAGCAGCTCACACATGTTCACACACATCTGTTGAAGATGATGATGGTGTCTCTTCAGGCTGTTGGATTGGAGCACCGAGTCTGCTGGTGTTGGGTTCTTCCTCTGTGAGAAAATAAACACACACACACACACACACACACACACACACACACACACACACACACACACATACACACACACACACACACGCACGCACGCGCGCGCACGCACGCACACACACACACACACACAAAGCAACTTAGCCCTCTGATGCATGAATTACTTAAGAACAGCGCCACTTTCACGTTCAGTATTCCTCAGTCATGTGCAGTGATGCTTTTCATTATTTTTAATGTTACTGGACTTTTAATTTTATTGATCTTTTTTTCTGTTCTTTGAAAACATGAATAAAATGATCAAAAACAGGTGGAAGTGAGTGCATCCATGGGGAATATTTGAAAAGACTTCTGTCTCACTCTCAGGTGTTCTTCAGCATCAAATAAATTGTAGAATATGAGGAAGAAGAACCGTTCGTTGTAATAAAACGAAACTAAGTTTGTTCATTTATTTTAAGGAAGTCATGGCAGGAAGGAACTTCTGTGGAAAAACGCTGAGGCAAAATGAAAGTGAAAGGATCAACAAGCGGGTCAGATGGATGTTTAATTTAACCCTTAATTTTCATTATTTTATAACGAGTTTTGATACTGCACACACACACACACACACACACACACACACACACACACACACACACACACACACACACACACACCTGAAGATCAGGTGTGTGTGTGTGATGATCATGGGGAGGGGAGCTCTAGTAGGAAATGTGTAACATAGGGTGGTATGGACCATGCCTTGCTTTGACTCGTGACATCTGGGTGTGGTCAGAGTTGCCATGGTTACACAGAGTTCATACATAGATGGAAATAGAAAGGGTTGTGCTGAGAGGGATGGAGGCAGAGTGAGCTCAGAACATCTCAGATCAGAGACGACACACCGAGGTGAGTCACGGTTTATTCGTCTATCAGTGATGAGGACTCACGGCGCCAGGGTTACTCACAAAGGGCTCAGACAGACAGGTCAGACCCGGGGAACCACGTGTCTGTTTTGTATTTGGAAGTTATTTTAAGAGTGGTCCGAATTTTAATATTTTGACCAAAAACACCCAAAGGGGTAGGGTTAGGTTTAGGGTCCAAAGAGAGGCCTGCAGGCCATCTGAGGTCCTCAGAGAGATCTGGGTTGAATCTGATCCATCAGCAGATTTTATTTCTGGCTTTGACTTCTACTAACAGGAGGCTTGACAAAAACCTAAATGTACGAAGCTGATACAGTCAGCCCGTTCCTCTCCCCAGGGCAATCAGACACGACCCTGTTTAAATACCAATAAACCAGTGATGTTTATTTGTAAACACACGTAAAGATGTCAGGTCAGAGCTCTGGCTAACTTCCTTTTTCAGTCTCATAGCCGGACCATTCTGACCACACATGAACAAAACAAGCCAGATGACATGTTCTGATGTGGTTTTAGAAACAGAAGATCCAACGTAGCAGTACGGTCAGGCTTCACACTGCAACAGCAGCATAAAGTCAAATACGACCCCATCAGTGTTAAAATGTGATATTTTTTCTAAATGACTTCATCATAGATTTAATTTACAGTAGATGTTTTTTTTATTATATATTTTTTTGTTCTTTGCACATTTCTTCAACCAGATTCGTCACTGACACGCGTCACGCCCGGCCGCCGTAGCCCCAGCTTCTGGCTGAGCCCTTTGGCTGTAAACAGCAGGCAGGTAAAACCTCAGGCAGGAGAGCTTCTTTGTGTGCAGCTGCATGACATCAGCAGCAACGACACACCCCGACGTGCTGATTTTAGTTCCACGGAGAACAAAGGAACACTTTCCCTCTGGTTTTCTGCGTTACCACATCCCTGTTGTGCTCTCGCTGCACCTGTGAATCTTGTAACAGATGGAATAAAAAGCAGGCTGTGATTTTTAGAAGTTTAAAACACTCTCTAAAGTTTCCACTCTCTCTCTGATCCTCTGAAGGATGCAAACGCTCCGAGATCAGGACGCGCTCATCCCTCGGCCTCGGGGGGAATTGCCTAAACTCTGTGCTGCAGGGCTGGTTGCCTTAGCAACCATGGGGGTTGTGGTTTTGTCTCCGGACAGCTTTCTGGGCATGGTGGCCTTAGCAGCTCTCATGGTGACACTAGGGCCTCTGCTGCACGGACTCTGTCTGCTGGCTGAGGAGCTGCGGCACCACTCGAACACAAGGTGAGGCTCTGTGATGGTGTTCTGCATAAACCCTGGAGGAAAGCATTTGGTAGACTCTCATGGTGGTTTCTGGAGTTCCCCTCACAGGGAGGAGCCACGTGGAACAAGCTAATTCAGTTCAATTCAAGTTTATCTATATAGCGCCAAATCACGACAAGAGTCATCTCAAGGCACTTCACATAATAAACATTCCATTACAGGTCAGTTCATTAAGCCAATCAGAAATAATGTTTCCTATATAAGAAACCCAGCAAATTGTATTGAGTCACTGACTTGTGAGAGTGACTATACAGCAATCCTCATACTAAGCAAGCATAAAGCGACAGTGGAGAGGAAAACTCCCTTTTAACAGGAAGAAACCTCCAGAGAATCCTGGCTCAGTATAAGCAGCCATCCTCCACGACTCACTGGGGATGGAGAAGACAGAGCAGACACACACACACACACACAAACACACACACACACACACACACACACACACACACACACACACACACACACACACACACACACACACACACACACACACACACACACACACACACACACACACACGCACGCACGCACGCACGCACGCACACACACACACACATACCCACACACACACACACACACACACACACACACACACACACACACACACACACACGCACGCACGCACGCACACACACACACACACACACACACACACACACACACACACACACACACACGCACGCACGCACGCACGCACACACACACATACCCACACACACACACACACACACACACACACACACACACACACACACGCACGCACGCACGCACACACACACACATACCCACACACACACACACATACCCACACACACACACACACACACGCACGCACACACACACATACCCACACACACACACACACACACATACCCACACACACACACACACACACACACACACACACACGCACGCACGCACACACACACATACCCACACACACACACACACACACACACACACACACGCACGCACGCACACACACACATACCCACACACACACACACACACACACACACACACACACACACACACACACACACGCACGCACGCACGCACGCACACACACACATACCCACACACACACACACACACACACACACACACACACACACACACACACACACACACACACACACGCACGCACGCACGCACGCACACACACACATACCCACACACACACACACATACCCACACACACACACACACACACACACACACACACACACACACACACACACACACACACACACACACACACACACACACACACACACACACACACATACCCACACACACACACACACACACACACACACACACACACACACACACACACACACACACACCATATATACCAAGTGGTGTTTCTATGGCCACATTGTGATTTCTCGGTCAGTATTGTATTCAGTAAGAGATCAACTTTATTGTCTTTATCTTGGTAAACCTATAATTAATTCAGCAGGTAAACTAGTAGTTGCACTTCAATGTCAAAGAGAGTAAAATGTTATAGATATGGACTTGGACTTGGACACAGACATGGATGGGGAATTAGACCTGGACTTGGACATGGTCATATGGACATGGATGAGGGAATGGTTATAGATATGGACTTGGACTATGAACTTTTTTTGTTGTTTTAGAAATAAAATACATGCGTCCCTCAGCAGATGTCTTAGATTTGTCTCTTAGTGGGTCATCTTTGGTCTCTTACTGCTAATCCAGATCTGACCCCCTCTGTTTTTGGCAGGTACCGGGCATGTCGTCACATGCTGCCAGCCTGCGGTCTGTGGGGTAAAACCCTGCTGGCTGCAGGGCTGGCAGGTCTCTTCCTGTACCTGACCAAACAGCTTCTACCGCCCAGAGACCAGTGCTGGGAGCTCCTTGTTCTGGTTCCTGCCGTCTACGCCTTCCTCAAAAGCCTGGGAGTCATGGTGAGCTTCACACTTGGTGTTGGAGGCTGCTGGTTTTGAAGGTTGTGTAGTTTCTAAATCTGTTGAAGGAATCCTGAAGATCCATCGCCATAAGTGACTAATCATGTCCGACATGCGGCTTAACTTGTCAGCAAACTCAGCAAACAGCAGTCCTTTTACAGGGATACTTTACAACTTTTAAAAAATAATTTCCTTGAGCCAATGTGTGCTAAAATGACCCTTTACATGGTTAATGAAATGTCCCTCAGACCCCCACCGCCATCTGTGGCAAGCATACCGCTTCTGCAACTTCACAGTGCCGGTCCGATCTGCTTCCAGCACGTCTCCTGCATTTGTGACATCATGAACACAGCTGATTTGTTTGATTTAGTTATGAACCACCTCTGCAGAAACTAATGAAGGCTGGGAAGACATTTCAGCTTTGTTAAAAAGACGAACAGACAGCGAGGAGATACGTTGTACTTTTGTTTCTACCAAACAGACACCAGGTGGTGCTAAAAGCAAGGACAAACTGCCTGTCTGGCTTTAGCCACCCGTCAGTGTCCGTTATAATTCACATAACCCCATATTAAAAAGTACCAATGACTGATTTAGCTCTGGACATTTGTGATTTCTTTATTTTGTTTTTAGATACATTTTCTTAAAAGTATTTATATATAATTTTAACAATCTCATGTCTGCAGCTTGGTTAAAGTGATCAGAGTGTTTAGAGAGAAAAGTCCCGACGAGAGACATCCTGATGCGTTTGTACAGTAAAAACCACCTCAAACCGGTCTTTAGCAGCAGAAATGTGCTCACACCGTCACTCAGCCACACGATACTGAACATGGTCAGATCTCACAGTCGGGTCTACTTCCGTCAGTGTTCTTGACTTAAATCTAAAAATACACCCATGCTACGAAGGAAAGGGCAGCAGAGACATGGGGATGCCCTTTTCTTCTGACCAGCGCTCTTTTAAAGGTGTCTGGATTCTCCTGAGCAGAGGTGGGCTTCAGTGACGTGTTTCTGGCTGTTGGGTGTGCAGGGTCCGTCGGAGGTGGAGGTGTCAGGCATCTGCGAGGGGAGGAAGATGAATGTGGCTCACGGCTTGGCCTGGTCCTTCTACCTGGGCTACCTGCAGCTGGTTCTGCCACGTTAGTAACAACAAAATGTCACAAAACACACACATCCTGTTTTCTTTACCTTCTATTTTTATGTCAAAGTGAGATCGTTTGGACATAATGAGGAGGTTCTGCTTTAGGTCTGAGTTTACACGTGTCTGTTCAGGCCTGGAGAACTCCATCGCTGCGTTTTGTGCTGCACATCACCGCAGCACCCCCCTCTGGAGCCGTGGCTCCAGGAAGCTCCTCATCCTCGTCCCTCTGAGCGCCAACATCTCACACAAGCTGGAAGACGAAGATGACAACATCAGTTTTTTGGAAAACCTCCCAAACAACGAGATAGACCGGGCCGGAGTCCGGGGCCGGGTCTATAAACACAGCGTCTACAGAGTGAAGGACGGGCAGGGGGCGGTAGGTCAGGTGGATTATGGCGATGTAGCTCCAGTCTGACAAAAACATTTTTTAACTTCCACTCAAACATTTAAGACAAATTAAACAAGCCGACACAACTAAATCTACTCTGATTACTTTTTTTTTTTACATAAAACTTAAATTAGATGTAATCTTACATCATCATCATCTTTTCCTTATAGAGAGCTCTAAAACAACCAAGAGTCAACCAACAGAAGAGCTAGGTCAAAGCCACCATCACAGTAAAAGTGTTCTTAGAGCAGGTTCACAGAGAAAACATTTTTAATTATTAATTTAGAAAAATGAAAATAATCTTCTACACCTATCTCCTGCGTTAGCTTCCTGAACAGACGGTGAAACTCTGGGATTTTAACATCCTGACAGCTCTACGTCACACTGTCACTAACATTCATGAACTCACCCATCGTGACTCGCGACGGGGAAGGCTGTTGTTGGTTTAGCGTCCAGGAAACAGCACAGAGCATTTTGGCTAGCAGAAGCTAACAGTTAGCATTAGCAACTGCACCGCATGGCAGAACTCCTCCAGGCTTGTGTTATTTATGGAGATAAAACATCAAAATTGCAGAGCAAACCAAGTCAGTGGTAGAGTTGTGCTGCTGTTAGCCAATCAGAGGAGAGATGTCCAAACGTCAGTAAATAAAACCCTTCTTATGAGACACATCGTGCCGGCAAATCAGTGTAACATCAGTGTGTCTTATAAATGCGCCATGCCGGCATGGTGATGCATGAATCTTGCGGCATTCATTCTGCCTTGCTTGGTAGTGATATTGCGGTAATTGTATGTCTTATAAATGGCTTTTGCCCCTTGGTGCTACAGAGGGTGGTGTCATGATGACGTGGGGAGCCACTGCCGAGCTCCGGCTGGCAACTATATTGTAAATGAAAGTAAACACGTGCCGCGAGTTTTTCTTTTTGAACTAGATCAGCTGATCTAGCAAACTGTATATAACACAAGCGTAGAGGGGTTCTGCTGTGTGGTGGAGTTGATAATGCTAACACTTAGCTTCTACTATCTGAGACGTGATATCCTCTCTCCTGGACGCTAAACCAACAACAGCCGTCGTCGGCGTGAGTCAAGATGGGTGAGTCCATGAATGTCATGTGACCGTGTGACGTAGATCTGTCAGACTTTTCTAATCCTAGGGTTTCACCGTCTGTTTTCTATTAGAAGCTAATGCAGGAGATAGGTGTAGGAGACTATCTTCATGTTCAGCCTGCATGTTAAACTCAGTGACCGATCATTATTTCAAAATAACAAGTAAAAACGGTTTCTCAGTTAACCTAATGAACACAAACTGTAAAGATGACCTAATCATGCATCACTTTAGGGAAAATATCAAAGCCTTTAAAGCATTTTTATTTAATATTCTGCTTAGTGAGTCCTGTCAACATGTTTTTGTTCAGTTTTTCTGTTGAAACAGTGAAAAAAGAACGATTTCCTGTTGTCAGGTGGAAAAATACATCACGGGTGGTTTCTCCTCCACAGCATTAGCGCCACCTTTTGGTTAAACCTGAGGTGTCACGCGTCTTATTTCACTGCAACAGCGCCATCTATCTGTGAAAAAAAACACCTTACTTTGGAATAAACGGATAATTACTACGATAACCTCCTGGTGTTCTTGTGCACGTTGATGTGTACAGGTGATGATGTGGCTTCCCTCTGAGGACTAAAGGTTTATTCCCATTTTTATCAGTTGTTCACGTTTCAGGAGCGACCCTGAGTGTGACGTGTCCTGTGTGTGTGTGTGTGTGTGTGTGTGTGTGTGTGTGTGTGTGTGTGTGTGTGTGTGTGTGTGTAGGCCCATGACTGTGCAGTGGAGTATGCCACCCCCCTGTTGACTCTTTACCGGATGTCCCAGGAGAGGAGCGCCGGCTTTGGGGAGCCGGAGCGCAGACAGCAGGTTCTGCTCTTCTACAGAACCCTGCAGGACGTTCTGGAGCAGTCGCTGGAGTGTCGCAACCGCTACAAACTCATTCTGCTCAGCGGTACCAAAGCCAGAGCTGACTGTAGCACACACACCACAGGATGTCGCATCATGCTTTCAGCAGATTCAAGCTTTATTCACTTCCCTTTCAGAGGGCTGCCATGCTGTTGCTTTTGCACTTCATGAGTAAACGTTATTTTTAACAGTGTTATGAAAAGCTGGAGAAAAGAAAAAAGTTTAGATGATCAATTAGAGAACATTTCTGTTATGAAACACATCTAACCCTAAAACGTCTCTAACGCTTTTAAAGGTGTGGAACACATTCTGAGTTTTTCATGCAGGCGGAACATGACAATAGTCTCCTACACCCATCTGCTGCATTAGTTTCTGATAGAAAATAGACGATGAAACTCTAGGATTAGAAAATCCTGACAGATCTACGTCACGTTGTCTCTTAACATTCATGGACTCACCCATCTTGACTCGTGACCGGGAAGGCTGTTGTTGGTTTAGCACCCAGGAGAGGGCAAAGAACGTCTCGGCTAGTTCAAGATAACCGTTAGCATTAGCAACTCCACCACACAGCAGAACTCCTCCAGGCTTGTGTTATTTGTGGATAGAAAACATCAGCGTTGCAAAGCAAACCGAGTCCGTGGTAGAGCTGCAGTGCTGTTGGCCAATCAGAGACGAGATGTCCAAATATCAGTAAATAAGACTCCATAACCTGCCGTGTTCTGCCGCGTTCTCCTCCAGCGGACTTCTCTGTGCTGACACAGGCGCTTCTGGGCTTTTTCCTCCCTGACTACGACTTAAGCCGGGTGTACACTGAACTGCTTTCTCTCTTTTTTGAGTCAATTTTCCACTTGTTCGAGAATCTACAAGATCTGGCGAGATTTGCACTGAGCGGCGTCTAGTATACAGGGGGTTACGAGAGGCAATTAACACCACGTGACCAGCTACCGAGCTCGCACGGATTTCTGGCATGTTTGATATTTTGCCCGTTCCTCGTGAGGGTATCGTACTGTTGAAATGGTGCTGCGACCCAAAAAGTACCAGCACTCACAGCTCATGCACAAACATGCATCAACACAGACTGTCAGGAAAGCGTGTTTATGTCAAATTAAACTGATCACAAAACACTGATTTACTTTTTTCTTTTGTTTTCCTCATCGAACCCCCATAAATCCCTGTGTCATCCTACAGCTCTCCCGAAGGACAACAAGCATCAATATCAACACAATAAAAAGTCCGGCGTGTTGTGTAAAATCTGCTATTTTCAGCATATTTGCAGGTCTGGTGTGTTGCTACCACGCAGTTAGGTCGCATCCGAGAACTGGGTCATACAGTGTGAGCACAAGACTCGTGAGATTTGCTCTGCAAGGAAGTCGCACAATTTGAGCTGAGGAAGCTGAACGCTACGAGTTAAAAAGTCACACAGTGTCCGCCTGGCTTTACAAGGCAATCATTCCCACTAGAGACCGCTGCAAATGTGTTGAATAAATGTGTTCCACACATTTAATTAGAGCAAATCAATTTTGGTTGAACCAAACCTACAAATAAATCTAACGAGTAACCAAATAAATAAAAGTCACATATGAACAAATTTTAATTAAAAAATTGATAGAATTTAGAATAAATAACACAAGTTTGTCTTTTCTTCCATCTTCCAGATGAGCATGAAGATGATCCTCATTTCCTGTCCAAGGCCATCCTGAGACACCTGGATCAGCAGGAGAGAGAGGAGTTCTGTCTCCATCCACTTCCTGAACAGGAAACCAAACATTTGTGGGACTAGGGCTAGCGCCATCTGCTGGTGGGTACCAACCTCGACCTGAACCGATGAGCAGAGAGCCCACGCTGATGATCAGCCTGGAGAAACCTCAGTCTCTGCAGGTGCCTGTGGAGAACACAGACATCCACCACAGAGGAACATAAACGGGACCTGAGAGGAACCCGAACCCTAACCACCACTTTCAGTGAGGAGCCAGCAGGGGGCGCTGATGTGTTCCAAAGATAACATTTGTGTGTGTACTAGTTTAACTATCCTTCTTAGGACCAATGGGTCTGTTCTTTAATCACTGAGTCACATTTAGGGATGAGCAAACTTGAGTACAGATGATGGAGGCTACTGAGCTCATTGTGATCTGCAAAGCATATCCAGGTGTGTGCCTTTCCAAATTATGTCCAATCAGATGAACTGCTCACAGATAGACTCCGGTGAAGCTGCAGAAACATCTCAAGGATGATCAGTGGAAGCAGCTCCATTTGGAGCTTCATGACATGCGCTGTGAATACGAATGTACCTGTTTTTTCTACATTTGTTAAAAAACGATGAATTAAATTGTTCCCACATTGTCACTATGGAATGCTGTTTGTAGAATTTTGAGAGGAAATATGTATTTACTCCATTTTGGAATTGGGCTGCAACATAAAGTGATGTGAATCCTCTCTGGAGGAAATGTACGTTCCTCCATAGTTCTGTAGGTTTTTACTGAACTCCTGTGTAGAGTGATAGAGCGTTGATGAGTTAGCTGTGTCTGTTACGAGTCACGCTCCGATGATGTTATTGGTTAAAAAAGCACAACAGGTGTTAAGTATAGATAACATTAAAGGTGCATGAAGTAATAATGACACCCTGTGGTCAAATATGGGTACTACGGTCCAGTTTCCAAACAAACGGGTGACTTTCTCTCTACTGTGTGCAGTGTTGGGAGTAACGCCGTTTAAGTATAACGGCGTTTCTAACGGCGTTCTTTTATAGGTAACGGAATAATCTAATTAATTACTTTTCCCACCGTTGCAACGCCGTAAGGTTGTGCGTTACTATGTGCTTGTCGAACGTTGAGCAACAGCGTGAGGCTTTCCGACCGCCACACTTCAGCTGCAGCCAGGGAGAGAGAGGTGTCGGTAACGCTTACAAACACCATGATGATTGGCCGGGTGGGCGGAGACCCTCACGGTCTCATTCGCTGCATTCTGTAGTGTAGACACAGCAAGTGATGGTAATAACGCCGTTTAAAATAACCACGTTAATGAAAAATATTTCTTTCTGTAACGAGCAAACTAATTAATTACCTTCTTCTTTTAACAAAACGATCGTTTCTGTTACTGATTAGGAAATGCGTGCGTTAAGCAGCGCAGTGTGTTGAAGCTGTCATCATCAGCTGATCAGGAGCTAAAGAGGTAGATGTTTTCATCCAAGAGCATCACGGCCGTGAAGAATGAGGAAGACGTGATGAATATCTACGGCTGCAGACCTGCAGATTCGCTGCTGCAGGTGGGAATCTGCAGCAGCGAATCTGCAGCCGTGCCCTTCTTACAGCGGGACGTGCTGAAGGTCCGCTCAACTGTTCACCGCTCAGACGTCCTGATCTTCTACCTTCCTAGATCATCCAGCTGTAACCTGTTTCTGATCATGTCTTTAGTCCCGCTGTAACACTGATGCATCAGTCTCAGACGACATGGAGCTCAGGTGTTATTAGAACTACCTGTGTGTGTTTACCACCCAGCTTCAGCTCTTCTGTGGTTGGGTCTGACCCAAGTTAGTAAATGTAAGCCCTCCATCAGACTTGTGCCTCTTCTAGTGTCATTTTAAAGGATTTTATTTATTTATTTAACCATTACTAGATCACCCGCAACAGAAATGCTGCTAAAACACACAATTATGTGAAGCTGGAAAAATTAGAATACTGTGCAAAATTACATTTATTTCTGTAATTTAACTAGACTGAGAGACCATTTAAAGGCTCGGGAACCTTTACAGGTGTTTCTATTTGTAATTTTAAATGTTAGCTGATTGGGGTCTTGTTAAATATCACACAGTGACCTTTTAATAGTCTAGATTAGTGTAATGTTCCTGTTAGTAGTTCCTCCTGTTAAGTGCTTATTTGTTTAAATTATTCAGGTTTATATAAAACATTTGGACAAATTTTATTATGTTCAGTCATTAGTCATTTATATTTTACTATTGTAGTAATTCTTGCATGCTTTTATGAAAAAAGTAACTAAGTAGTTATTTTTGTTGGTAATTAGTTACTTTTATGATCTTGTAACTCAGTTACTAACTGAGTTACTTTTTTGACAAAGTAATCAGTAACTATAACTAATTACTTTTTAAAAGTAACGTTCTCAACACTGACTGTGTGATTTGTGGCTGTTGCCAGTCACGAATCGGGACCAGAGGATTCTAGATGATGAGCAAAGATGAGTCATATATTGATAAGTATGCATGGTGCATGTGGCACTGTTGCCTCGCAGCACGAAGGTTGCAGGTTCGAAACTCGACTGCGGCCTTTCTGCGTGGAGTTCTCCCCATGCACGCGTGGGTTTCCTCCGGGTACTCCGGTTTCCCCCACAGATCACAACATGCCCTATAGGTTATAAACTGTAAGTCGCTTTGGATAAAAGCGTCTGCCTAATAAATAAACATAAACATAAATAAACATACGTAGACAGAAACACTTCACTGACAAATGTAGGCGGAGATATTTTTAGAGATGACTACTGTTTTCTAATTCACCGTTGGCATTGTTAGCTCAATGTTAGCCTCTAGTCTACTTCACCCGCTGTTAGAGTAAAACAGAAAGACATCGTGGCTTCTTACGGATGATAGGAAATAACTTCTGGGTGGCTCTTGTCACTGGCTTCGGATCTGTACAAAACTGCAGAGTTTTGCCGGCTGCTTTTGCATCAGCTGGCACACTGCGGGCTCACAAACTACATCTCTCTTTCTCCAAGTACTGAGTACATTTGTATGATTTTACGTTTTCCTATGTCTGATATTTCTCTATTTAAAATCTTTGTTTTATTGATTTCTTGTAATACTATGATTGTCTGAGATTTTGAATTAGGTGTTTTCATGAACTGTAAAACAAAATCATCAGTTATAACAAAGTAAGGCTAGAAATATTTGTCTTTGCATGTTAAGAGTCTCTCTCATGAACTAGTTTCACCTTTGACCCCTTAAGTTTCCAGGTTTAATGAACGCATTGGGGTTTTGTCCCATGAGCAGGATGCTGGAATGCTAGAGACTTTGCAGTTTTATCTCGCTTTTAGCACCCCCTAGTGTTCGGTTAGTAAAACCAAAAGTGAAACTTATCTCCTCACTGTGCATTTGTCTTTTTAACAGCTGAAATGTCTCCTCGGCCTTCATTCTAGGCCTGGAGGTCCAGTATCTAGCACGCTTTAGTTTTAATTCTGCTTCAGCACACATGATTTCAATCAGCAGGTGATTAACAGGCTTCTGCAGCGTGATGAACTGCTGCACAGGTGATTCAACCACTAATCAGGTGTGTTAGAGCACAGAAATCACTCAAATGTGCTGGATACTGGCCCTCCAGGCCTGGAACGGAATACCCCTGATCTAAAACTGCAGTGCAAGCATGTCTGCCCACGGGGGAGCGTTGGGGTCTGAGTGACATTAACCCTGTAAAGGGTCCTTTTAGCGCATACTGGCTCAAAAGAATATAAAAAAATGTGAAAATGTTGCATAGTGTGCCTTTAAAGTTAAATTAGTGAAACAAATGCACCAAATTCATATTTTTTGAGGTTCACCTGTACGTGTTAAAGGGGCATTATGGAAGTTTGACAGCCAAAACATGTATAGAAACAATAAAAGTCTTCTTCATACGTTCTCCTGCAATGCCCTGGTCCTGTAGAATGAGCCCTGGCATTTTTACTGTGATTGCCTGTTTTTCTGTAAAATCACAGAAAAAGAGAGATGCTCGGGTCGAGCAGGCTGCTTCATGCGCGTTCACGCTCAGGCATCGCCCGTAGCATTTGCTATCCGTAGCTTTAGCAGCAGAGAGAGAGGCAGTGCCACTTTGTCGCTGTTCCTAACGCCTAGTGACAAAGCTAGCTACATTTCTGAGGACCCTTAGCTACTTTCTGTAGAACTTTCTTCTAGATATTTCCTGCTAATTAGCAACAAAATAGCCATTTTCACTCCGAACCGTTCTTTGAACGTTGTTTCAGCTGTCATCAAGGATATAAAAGCTACAGATAGGGAAGACACCACCAGTGCTGTAGCTCACCTAGTTAGTCGTCGGACTCTTGTGCTGACGACCCGGGTTTGATTCTGGATGTGAACATAATTTTTTTTAGTATTTATTTTTTACATTAATGATATTTTTTTTACAGTAAGACGCCCAAATTTTTATTTGAGACTCACTGAACGGCATTGAATTCACAGATAAAAAAGATGTGGGATCATCTTTCATTTTGGAACAATTTTTCAAGCAAGGGAAGGGAATGATCTGAGCATGCAGGAGGACTGACCCATCATAAACCTTTGTCGGCTGTGCTGAAGAGAAAGGTACAGAACCAAATGATTTAACACACACACACACACACACACACACACACGGGTCTGTCTCAGCTGTTATTTTCGTTAAGGAGTGTGCACGTACAGCATGCGTGCCTCGTGCACAAGCCTACTATTGAAGCTGCCGTTACGCTTTTGGCCTGAGGGGGCAATAGCGAGCATAAAAATTCAAAACTCCGTGAAGTCCCTTTAATACACGTTGAAGTGGACCCCAATGTGACAGACTGTTTTCTTCAATTATAACTAATCTGTCTCTCAAAACTGAGGCTGTTCAAAGACCTATCTACAGCAGGTCAGATGTGTGTGTGTGTGTGTGTGTGTGTGTGTGTGTGTGTGAGTGTGTGTGTGTGTGTGTGTGTGTGTGTGTGTGTGTGTGCGCGCACGCGCTCTCTCTGGTATAAGGAAATAATGACTCATCATCCATATCAAAGGTTCATGCATATTTTATTCAATAGTAAAAAAGTGGATCGTCCCATGGGTCATGCTTACAGTGTTAGTGTCGGGTGTGTGTGTGTGTGTGTGTGTGTGTGTGGGGGGGGGGGGGGGTGTCTAAACAAAGTAAAGAAGAGCAGAAGGAAAGATGCAAAGAATCAAAAAGGCAGAGAGAGAGAGAGAGAGAGAGACACTGATTACATACGAAGAATAATGTCCATAATAAATAGAACCATAAGATCATAAAAGCATAAATATCATCAAATGACAGGAGGAATCATTATAGAGAGAGAGAGAGAGAGAGAGAGAGAGAGAGAGAGAGAGTGTACAGGGTTTCCTTTACATTGTGACACACTGACTCATCTGTTAAAACGTGTCTGCTTGGAACAGCACATCTTCCAACCACGCAGTCATGCTCTCAGCCGCCCGTGCCTTTGTATAGAGTTAGTATGGTCATTCATGGATGCTAGTTTAATGTTTGTTTATTCATATTTATCCGTTCAAAACAACTCCTGTACAACGACCAAGAGAAGAGGAGAGAACGTGGACTCGACACTTGGAGTGGAGGCGTGCCGTCGTTCTGCACGGCGTCGAATCCCGGGGCCCGAAGCACAAAACGTCAAAAAGAACCCGAAAGAAAAAAAAACACTAAATGAATAGAAAAAATAAATAATTAAATTAGCGTTATGTACAAACAGATGATTCATTATACCTCTGCTCATTTATAGTACCCAGAAAATCAAGAAGAAAAAAGTTCCTACCATAGTGAAACACAGAGCACAAATATAATCTTCACATTATTATCAAAGAACTTAACTTTGCATGCATCGATGCGTTTATATAAATGCTTTACAAAGACCTTTTCCCCTCTAGGCTGCTGCCTCCACCAGAAGAGTCTGTTTCCTCAGAATGGTCACTTCCTGCTTCGTTCAGGGCAGCGGGTCGTCGCCGCAGACGGCAGCGCGATAAGAAAGGAGGATGCAGGAGGAGAACCGAGAGCGTGACGTCACATTTAAACTTCCCATGGCTCTCTCACATCAACACAAAGCATCATTCTTTTGCTATACTGCATTTTTGCATCCTGTAATTGTATGCATCAGGTGCAGGACAAATTCTCTCAATGAATCCTATTCACACCGGCAGGTAGGGAGAAACTCCTCAGAAAGGGCCGGGCTCAGTTTCAAGCCTTTCCCGAGACCTAACTGGCTGGTAACCAGAGTTTAGAAGGATGATGAGGAGGAGGAAGGGGAATCCTCCACTCGATGTCAAGTGGAGGATGTGAGTGGTGTTGTGCTACAAAGGCAAGACAGGAACCTCCTCTGCAGAAAACAAAACAAAACAAGGCTCAGATTGGCCTGCAGCTGAGATTATCTTCACCAGTGTCTCGCTGACAGATTAGCCATCGAAACGTTTCTCACCGTCGCCTGAGTGCTGGCAGGAGCTGCTTGTGTTTGAAAAAACCCCGACAAAACAAATATACACACATATATATATCTCTATATATATATGCATGTATAACTGCACACACACACACACACACACACACACACACACACACACACACACACACACACACACACACACACACACACACACACACACACACACACACACACACACACACACACACACACACACACACACACACACACAAGGTTGGGTCTCACTTCCCGTCCCAGGCCCCGAAACCAAACACATGAGGTCCTACACCCGTCCTGACTGCTACCCTTCACCTTGTTCCTGTCCACCCTGACAGCCCCCCCCCCCCCCCCCCCCCCCACACACACACACACACACATGGCAGCAGCCCCCACCCATGTTCCACAGGCGGTCTGTGGAGTTTGGTTCCTGTTGTTGTGCAGGTTCAGAGGAGATGTGGCTCTGAAAAACCGGGCCGACCAGTCTCAGGAAAGACCCTCAGCCTTTAGTGGGACAGTCTGGCTATGGACAAGCAGAGGGCAACGGGGAGAGGAGCAGGTAATGACGTGTGTCGTGTATGAAACACGGCATGTGTGTGTGTGTGTGTGTGTATGCCTATGTACATGCATCGATAAATAAGGTCCCATATTGTTGTAACTGTAGGCATGTGTGACGTTTAGGTGGATCACTGTATATTGCTGTTGTTGTCGGTCCCGTTGGGCTCGCCCATCTTCATGCGGCCCATCGACAGGCCCACGCTGTTGACGGCGTCGCGCCGCGGCGGCATCCGCTCGTTGATCCGGTCCAGACCTTTAGCCTCTTCGAAACTGGTGATCCGATGCTGCGGGGAGAAGCCTCTAATGGCTGTAGACACACACACACACACACACACACACACACACACACACACACACACACACACACACACACACAGTCAATATTTAAAGGGCAAGGACAGCAGAGTCTTGCGTATCCAAACCCTAACACAGGGGGAACCCACACCTGGCTGATGTCTGTACAGCTGCGTTTGGGTTCAGCAGCAGAAGGTCGCTGTGATCTGGACTCCTGGTCCTGGTTTGGGTTTGGATAAACAGAGATCTGCTGCATTTACATCTATGTGGTTCTGGCACCAACATCTACAAACACACTGTCCACCGGCCGTCTGAATGCTGGGCTAGGGTTGGATGGACTTGTGTGACCTGTGGACGTGACCGTGAGTAGAACTTGGCTACTGATCCTAAACCGGTGGTCACCAGATGGATTAAACACGTATTATATGAATGCACACAAGTCTAAATCTTGAAAACACATGGGTGGATGCTGACAGTGAGGCGTTTGATCAAAGTGGTTTCAGCCTTTTGGTCTTTTCAGCTAATCGTGGTCCTTTTGAACCCAAAGGGACACTTGTGACATTTCAAGTGTGTAATAAATCCCTCTTGGATGTCGTAGATAACCCGTTCACAGACGTAGAATCCTGACGAGCTAACGGCTGGTGCGACCAAAGTGTGTAGCTTTACTTTCTATCAAACACTTATTTCAGCAGGGAACTTTTAAAAAATCCTTCCTCCTGGATTTGACTCCCGGAGGCACCAGAAGAGCTTTTCTTGGCTGCTGCCGGTGATATTTATGCACATGAATAGTTAGCTTTCAGGGGGAGAAGATCACCTCCAAATCTGAGGCCACTGTGGATTACCAACTCCAGGTTGGGGAGTTTAGGTAACTCGAGTCTTGTCCATGAGCGAGGTAAGGAGGGAGCGGGAGCGCCACAGGCGGATCAGCTCAGCAGGTCTGTTGAGGTGAAGAGGAGCTGAGCCAGAAAGCAAAGCTCGCAATTTAGCCGTTGATCGTGATCCAAGTCCCCACTGGTGGTCACAAACTTTAAGCAGTTTTCTTCGTAGGGTGTCCAGACTCAGTCTTCGAGATAGGCGGAAGAGCTCGGACAGTTGGGAGAGACTTGGAACAGAGCCGTCGATCCTCCGCCAACCGAGGGCGATCGGGCATAGGGAGCTTCAGTGCCCATCTACGGGTTCGTCAGTGGGGCTAAAAGCGCTACCTTCTTATTCCGCTTGTTTTGTGCCGTGGATTTCACATATGATGTTAAAGACACGCTTTGATACCAAGAACTCGATTATTTTCGAACGGGGGAAAACTTTATTTTAGGTTTTGTGTGAAAATAAGTTCAGGACTACAAATACGCATTGCCAAACGTCATCGAAGCAGACACGGAGAAAAACAGGGGAAATGGCTGTAAGTTCAGCAAACTTCAAATCCTGCTTTCACAAGGAAAGAACCACCATAACCCCTTCTCTCCACGGGAGCCGTCAGCAGCACGTTACTGCAGCAGCACGTCTTGCTCGCGTAAGCTGCTGCTTGGCCCTTCCCACGAGACGCGAAGCAGCAGGGGAGCAGCTGTCACCGACCGAGCACCAAGTCACACGAGTGACTTCGTCAGTGAACACAACAACAAGCAGGAGAAAACTACAACATGGTTTGTGTTTCATGTTCTGTCCGTTTTATAATCGCCAATATGGACCTGAAAAACAAAGGAGACCGCTAGCTAGGTGATAACTTCTCACAGGGCCGCACATTTTTAAAAGTAAAGCAACCAGAAGGCAGTATGTTTCTTTATGCTGAAAATCTCGGGAGCTTCTCTCCATTTCCGCGTCCGATTTCCTGTCTTTCCTTCCCCAAAAATGTCGAACTTGACCCGTTTCAGAGGCGTCGCGCGTAGAAAATAGAACCGGCGCGTAAAGGCCGCGACATGCTGCTCCTGAGACGCGGCCGACTCGCGCTGCTGACGGCTCCGGTGGAAAAGGTTCTGTTGACCACAGCGGTTCCTATCAGAAGCTATGATGTGCTGCTGACGGCTCCTGTGGAAAGCCGGGGTCAATGTGGCCGTGTGGTAAGTAGCAGCTACGCTAGGGGAGAGGAGAGTCTGTGACGTGCCGATGTCTGAGTTGTAGTCGTGACAATTACAAACTCATACAAGCTGATAAGGTACGTGACTGGCGTGGTCGAAACACCCATCATTAGTTTTCATTTAAACTGCAGTACGACACACGTGTGATCCAGGGCGTAAGGCAAAGCGGATTAGAACATATTCATTTTTTTGTTCTTCCGGGGACCCATGATCCAACCAGAAAGGGAGGAGACTAGACTCCCCGTTTGGTCAGGACTCCAGGGCCGGGTTTTCAGGCCCTCTGGGTCCAGGGTTAGTGTTTACAAGCATGGAGATTTAATCCCTCCAACGTGTCCTGAGAACGTCCTGAGGTCCCAGCAGTGGAGCTGGTGGAGATTTGTGCTTCTCTGCTGGAGCTGCTGCACCCACGGCCCAGATCTGGATAAGTGGATGAAAACGGAGGCCTTTTGCACATCTTCAATCAGTAATATGTCCAAGTTACTTCACGTCAGCACGCGTCACAGACACGTGAAGCCTTTGCATGTTTTAGTCGGTGCAGCCTCGTTTTTGAACCAGCAGCAGTGAAGCCATTCGTGTCTGATGCACCAGTAAGGTTTACCAATGAACTCACCCTGTGCTGACAGGGCGTGCTTCTACGGGAAGTGCTGTAGCAGCTGTTGATGAGTCAGAGAACGGCGTTGCAGCCCCTCGTGAAACAGTGGTCCTAATGAACGTTTTTAAACCACTGGAATGTTCTTTTACATTCGTACCAGTGAAATGCACGACTTCCTGCTTCTGGCCGTTTAAACCCTTCCTCATAAAATCAGTAAGAATCTGCAACTTCTCTCTCAGACCAATAAAAAGCACCACCTTTGAGCAAAAGCGACTGTCGTGTCATTTTATCTGAGGCGCGCGAGCTACGGACCACGTCACACAGCAGCAGGAAGATTACACCAGGAATCTCCATAATTCATTTGGATAAACAAATTATGGCCTGCTCTGTGGGAAAGCTGGAGACAGCACTAAACACGAAGCAGTACAGATAACTACAGCATGCAGATCGCCAGGCGAGCGTGCGCCGGGCAAACACAACAGAAATGACGACAAGGCCTCAGAGCTGTCCTGACTCCAGTAAGCAGGAAGTAAAGCTGTGGATTTGTGTTTTTATGAGAGGCTCGATGTGCTCAGATGATCCAAACTCATCACCTTCTCTAAGAGAATGGACCAGGACGGGCCTCGCATGACCGACACACCTGTTTGTTCTGTGTTCCTGTCATGTGACGTCTGCTAAAGGAGACGAGAGCACTCGGAAGAAACAAATGATGTTGACGTCTAGTCGTCGTCACGGTGACTCGTGTTCGGCTCGTAGAGAGACTAATACATCCACCCTAACAACACCCTCTCCCACCCATAGTCCTGCCCTTCTGTGTGTGTGTGTGTGTGTGTGTGTGTGTTAGGGAGACGTTTCTTGTGGTTGCATCTGAAAAGGAGGTAAATAGATATTAGGAGGGAGAGACCGGTGTGTGTTTCATGTGGCGGCTCCAACTTGCAGCGGTTCTGGGCTTTGTTTTCCGTGCTGATGCGGTTAGAAGAGCTCAATGCATCGTGGGTAAAGATGCATCTATGACCTCATGATTACGACGGCTCAAAGCACCACACACACACACACACACACACACACACATACAGTGAAATGACAATGATTTTACCTTCAGCGTCCTTAACTGTCTCAATAGCTTCTATGGCCTCAATGGTAGCTGAAGGATGGATGAAGAAGAAGAGAGAGAGGGAGACAGGAAGAGAGAGAGGGTGACGTACAAAGAGAGAAGGAGGAGGAGAAGGAAAACGAAGTGACGGCTGAAACATGCTTCTTTCCAGATATGCATAAACATCTTTCCTCTGGGGCACAAAGGAGGAGTGAAGGAGGCAGGAGGTGGTCACAACGCTCTGCTAGAGGCTCAAACACACACCTGTTTGGGGAAAATAGTCAGCATCTGATCTAACACCAAACACGGGCAACAAATCAACTCCAGCATCCGTTCGTCTATCAAATCCTGTCAGGAGCCTTTAATCGGGATTAAATCTGATAAATGAAGGCAGAAACAGTAGAAAAATGTAGATTTTTGTTCAGTTTAACCAGACTGGCTGTACGGTGACTGACTCGGGGGCATGTTTCAGGCTTCAAACACACAACGCCCTCAGAGCATCACTGAGGCAGCTTCAGGGAGCATTTGGTGTTAGCAGCAGCCTGTTAGTCCTATTCTCTCTCTCACGCACACACACACACACACACACACACACACACACACACACACACACACACACACACACAATCAGCAGCAGGCTGTTAGTATCCTTGGCGCCGTGAGGTGAGGTGGAGAGAGCGAGTGAGGTTAGAGGATGAGAGAGGAGTAACGGAAGAGGAGGGAAGGAAGGAAGCGTCCACATGTTCTTGTGTTCAGTTTCCTCTGGTATCTGTTTCTGGGGGTGTGTTTGTAGAAGAGAACTAGGGTGTGTGTGTGTGTGTGTGTGTGAGAAAGGCTCACCACTCTGCAGGGTCTGTTTGCCCCCAGACAGCACTCCGCTGGGCAGCATGCCTGTAGGAGTCAGTCCCTTCAGGGTCAGGACGTTCTCGCTCTCCTCCCTGAGAAACACGCAGAGCCAGAGAGAGAGAGAGTGTGTGTGTGTGTGTACAGAAAAAACAGAGAGGCAGCAGGTGTTAGAGAGGTTTTCAGAGAATTACACACTTCCCCAAATTGCACACCTGCAAACACACAATCACACACTTCTGGAGTCGAACAAGAGGGAAGCTGGAGGACCAGGGGTCTCATTTATCAAACATTGCATAGAATCCTTACTAAAACCGCTCAGCTAAAAAATTAATAAATAAATAAAATAAAGTACTTACGCCAAGTAGGTTTGTGATCTATTAAACATGGAGTACACACAGCTGCACGCGATCTCCGCTTCATAAATCAGAGACTAACGAGAATGTTTCTCAGCTGCATTTTAGTCACATCCCGCCCTCACCACGCCCACTTACTGCCATAAATAGTCAATGCAAAGTGCCTTGTGGATCTCATGCGTATACATAAGCCGGCTGTTGCAGCGCTCCGCCAATGACATGGCGACTGTAGGTCAAGGCAGATCAAGGAAGCTCTATTTAACAGAAGCAGAAGTTGAGGTACCTGTGGGTGAGGTGGAGAAATGAAAGGAAGTGCTTTTGCAAAACAAATAAGAGAAAATCCACGGAGTGGCACAGCGTTGCTGAAGCCGTCAATGTTGTGTTCTTCAGAGAGATCTGTGGTGGATATTAAAAAATGGTCCAATCGGGATTCAATCCCAAGACTCCCGGGTGAAAGTCACGCGCCCTAAGCAGTCACCCAAACAGAGATCTCCCCTGTACAAGTAGCCAGGGTGCATGATCAATCGGGTCACAGTGACAGGACACACACTGTCACAGACGCACGATGTTCTGTCTCAATCTGTCCCCCTGCTGATATTCTGCATTCCCTATTCTGCGCTTCAGGCTGTGTGTGTGTGTGTGTGTGTGTGTGTGTGTGTGTGTGTGTGTGCGTGTGTGTGTGTGTGCGCACACGTGTGCGCGTGTGGGGGGTCTTGTTCTGTGTGAAAACGAAGCAGGATTTCATAACTGTATCTTCTCAGCAGCAGCACTGCAGGTGCTCTCCATGTCCAACATGTGTGTAAGCCAGGTCCTTAGTCAGCTTAAAGTTGCGCACATTTTTCCGCTAAGTTTTCTTTCATGAATCCCAAAGTTTGCGTGAAAAGTTGCTTACGCAGTTTTCCGACCCCGTTTTGTGCGTAAGCAAGCTTGATAGATGAGGCCCCTGGTGACGACTGATTTCTGCTAAAGCTAAAGAAGAAAATCTATTTATGCAAACACACACACGTGCACACACACAAATTCAGCCTACACGCGCTCTAAATGTTTTCTGTATCGCATGTTTGTGTGAGACTAAATTCAGTGTGACAAGTCACGTTCTGGAGTGATTCCAGGGTCCCGTTCCCCTTCAGACGGCTCTCACACATGCGCGTGAAAAAAATCCAGAATTACAGAAAGATGATTTGAAGTTTACAGGAAACATTTAGAGCGGCTGTGAACTGAAGCAACAACATTTTGTAGGATTATGTTAGCATGTTTTTGAACCATCTGATGATGGGATCCAGCCAGTATTTTTAGCCCTGCAGGTATAAATCACCGGAGCTGAACCCACCGTAGAACAGAAAACATTTTAGCCATCTTCCCGATGGCACGGATCTTGTTTTTGATCACTTCTTTCCTTGCTGCAGCTGCACTGGCTAAAGCAGAGACATAAAGGACAGGAAAACGTTTGAATGTGCAGATGGATGCAGGTTTGGAGGACTGGAGGCTTTTTCTCACCGTCATAGATCTCATCTCCATCGTTCATGAGCTCGTCGTCGGAGCAGATACTCAGGACGTTCACCAACATTTCTGTCACTGTTCAAAAGAGACACGAGATTTAGGACTACTTCGATCCCCCTAAAAGACAAAATCTTCTGTTCACTTTCACATAAACTTTACTAATCCCCGATTCCCTCAGGAGGGATCCTCTGGAAAGTCCAGTTTCCAGCAGCGGTGCATCCAAAAACAAGGAGAAATAAAAGCACATTTTGCACAATAAGAGTGCCGCGGCTGGCTCTAAATGATAAGGTTAGGATTAAGGAATGCTGTTTGAGGTACATTTTAGGCCCGTGTGTGTCTGCTCACCATCACATCTGCTTGACACAGAAAAGTAAATCCTACTTGTGGGTCTGCACAGACTGCCACTTGCACTGAGAAACTCAGGGTCACGAGATACTAAACAGTTCAATTTGAAATTCAGAGAAAGCATGAAAAACATCATGAATCCATGTGTTGATCTTATGAAATAAATATTATGGGTGATTTTCTTTTAATTTTCAGAAATAACATAGACTGACAAGGAAAATTAAATGTCTAAAATTAATAGTTTAATCATCTTAAATTGCTATTTCATCAACTTATGAACCAGTTTATCTTTAATTGGGACATAAAACATTTACCCTTATTAACTCATTTTTACCATAAAATAATAAAAGCTAACTGCAGTAAATTTATTCTCCACCAGAGGGCAGAAGACATGTGAAGGGTTTGATGCAGCAGGTGTTTAAAGAGGACATACCAGGCATTTTTAAACAAGTTATAACATTTTTATGGTGGATACAAACAAATGCTTGTGAAGATTTTTGCCCTGAATTCCCTCTCACATAAAGCATCTCAGCAGCTCTATTACTGACATTTTCAGTACCTTCCAAAATTAGCCATTTCAGGGCTTTGTCACTTCAATGATTTTGAGCTGTTTCTGGCCACGCCCACCCACCTCCTCATTGGCTGCTAGGAGGTGAGGAGCTCAGATGTGTGGGAGGAGCTCGAGGGAGGGGGGTGAGAAGGTGGGTGGTCTATGTTAGTTTCCAATAATGACATCACAATAGGGGACATTTTCAAACGGCTTGTAGAAACAAATGATTCCTGAGATCAAACTCTGGCAGAAAATTAATGTGTGGTTTAGGATCACATTTGGAGGCAGTAGACCCACATAGCATCACAAAAGTATGCAAGAGGTGAGATCTGCATAATATGTCCCCTTTAAAGCCGCTTTCCGGATTTTTCCCCTTTCAAAATTATGTATGATTTGTCAGATTCAATTCAATTCAATTCAAAAATACTTTATTAATCCCAGAGGGAAATTGATTGCTGTAGTAGCTCAGAATAATAATAATCATCAAGTCATCAAAGAGTTGTTGTATATTACAATGGCTGTTGGCAGGAAGGATCTCCAGTAGCGGTCAGTGTTGCAGCCAAACTGAAGAAGCCTCTGACTGAAGACACTCTTCTGTTGTCGGACAGGCTTGTGAAGAGAATGCTCAGGGTTGTCCATCATTTTCTTGACTCTCTGGAGGATCCTTCTTTGCATTATCTCCTCCAGCGGTTCTGAAACTGCCGAAACTCTGGCTGAGTCCTTGAAAGGGCTTGGTGTTCCTCCATCTTGTTGGCCAGTGATCTCACATTGCCCATTATGATCGATGGAAGAGATGGTTTGAATTTCCTCTTTCTCTGTCTCCGTTTTGCTCCCGCTCTGCACCCACGCTTCTTGCGTTTTAGCTCATTTGGGATTTGTGGCTTCAGTTGAGGTATTATTTCAGCCTTTCCCATATTAATCAGCTGCTTCCGATTGTAAACCAGCTTGTTGCCATGGTTACACATCATAACAAATGCTCAAAAAGTGAAAAAAAGCTAAAAAATAGCAGTAAAAATCCTCCAAGCTTCACAGTGCTGGAAACAGAAATGTAAAGTGTCCAAAAAATACAGTTTTTCTTGAGAAACTAGAAGAAAAAATGCCCAAGAAAAGGCAAAACTTACATATAGTCAACAGAGCTACTCCAACATGCAGCCACCCAGAGCAGCGCAGTTCCGTAAAAGTGATTTTTTTTATCATGTACTGTGATATAATGTAAGCAATACATCTTTTTTTTTGCTGACCACGCCCCCTGTCCCGCAGAGCTCCGTGCAATAGGAAACCGAGCGCCACCAGAACTAACCAATAGCGTTAGACTACTGCTTGCCTGCTTCAAATTTAAGGAATAACTCAGCTGATGCAGAGTTGATGAACTTTTCACGGACAAGTAAGCCTTCAAAATACAAATGTATGAGAACACAACATGACATGAGAATGATACTTGTAAAACAATGTGTTTTAGCTCCGTTTGTTGGCTAAGAAGCACATTTCTTAACAGAAACATGAAGCCGCCACCTTATAAAAACAGACCAGAGTTTTTGTGTGAAATGCTGGTCAACCACTAGAAGTGCCATCGGATAAGAGAAATACTCCGGAAAGAAGCTTTAAGAGGGAATAAATGTCCTGTTAGAGAGGTAGGGGTCTTAGAAAGATATGCATCAGCGATGATTCAGAGCGATAAAAACTATTACACACTTACAGATTCATCATGTTTTTGCTTCTATGCCACTTCGATGTCTAATATGAGAAAACCACCATGTGTGTATCAGACAAGGACAACCCAAGTTTGTACAAAAGGATTGTTTTCAAAACAGGATTTCATTTATCAAAGGCACACATAGGAGTTTTGCTTGCTTTTAGCACCGCCTAGTGTCCGTTATTAATCATCTGTGGTTAAAGAAAAAGTGAAACTTATCTTTTCGCTGTGCATTCGTCTTTTTCACACCTTAGTCTAACAGCTGAAACATTTCCCCAGCCTTCATTGGTGCCTACAGGAGTGATTCATCACTAAATTAAACAAATCAGCTGTGTTCATGATCTAAAACATGCAGGAAACATGCTGGAAGCAGACTGCAGTCCCAGGTATGTACAGTAAGCTGAATTTTTTCCACGGGTGGCGGACCGGCACTCTGAAGTTGCAAATGCGATATTCTGGCCACAGAGGGCGGTGGGGGTCTGAGTGACTTTTCATTAACCCTGTAAAGGGTCATTTTAGCACACACTGGCTCAAGAAAACGATGCACAGTGTCCCTTTAAAGAAAGAAAGAAAGAAAGAAAGAAAGAAAGAAAGAAAGAAAGAAAGAAAGAAAGAAAGAAAGAAAGAAAAGGATCCCCTATGTCACGCCTCTCAAGATAAAAATCATGAGGTGCTTCACAAAGACAAAAAATAAATAAAGAAATAAAGCATGAAAACAATTTAAAAAAAAGATTAAAAACATGTTTAAAATGAGAAAAAATAAAAATTGTGATTAAAAAACTAATTTAAGGAAAGGGAGAGAGGAAATGAATTGGAAAGAGGGAAATCAGTGGATCCTGGGAAAGGCGGAATAAGAGCAGAGTCTAACCCACATATGTCAGACTCAAGGCCCGCGGGCCAGATGCGGCCCGCGGAGCATTTTTATGTGGCCCGCGAGATAAATATCAAAAATATATTAAAACTGGCCCGCTGGCCGATTTTACCGCAAAGACTTCAACTCCCATGATGCTTTGCGGCGTCAGCGCAGAGCTGACGCGCCCCCTCCTTTGTGTTTTTTCCAGCGCCTGCTGCCGGTGTCTGCAGCTCCGCTGTCTCGGACAAACTAAACACTCCTCTCAATCAGCGCCGAGTTCACTCAGCTGTTTTCTGACGTTGAAGCCCAGAAACGGAGATTCTAGCTGCTCAGTAATGTGTTCACGACTTAAAGAGAAAGTTTTCCAACTAACGTCCAGACAGAGCTGATATAACTCCAGCGAGCAGCGACACGCTCAAACTAGCATGACTCTGTGGCTGCTGTAGTTGTTATTTTTCCTCCCCAACACACAACAACGTGGTCAAGCTGCTCAGACATGTTCATCAGCACAAACCTATGTGAGCACCTGTTGTCATCTAATGTTGTCATTATTATGATGAAGATGAACAAAACAACAGGAGTCTCCTCCTCAGCTCAGATCAACCCCATGATGCAGGTATCTGGCTGGAACAGGTGAGCATCACAGTAAACCAGTGGAGCAAACTGAGCTTTAAAGATGTTGGTTTGATGCTCTTTTTCTGCTCCAAAACATGAACGTTAACAGGTGAGATGTTGCATTTTCATTTAAGATAAAATGATATTTTTATTTTGTTGTTGGCCCGTGAGAAAAGATTTAACCTACAGTAAACAGGAAGTGGAAAGGCTGCAGATAGATGAATAGAATAGAAAATCCCTTTATTGTTCCTCAGTGGGGAAAGCTAGACGTCACAGCAGCGATGACACGTATTACAGGAGAAAAAAAGGAGAATAAAAAATAAGAAAAATGAATAAACAAGAAAACATAAATCCTAAATAGATTTTAAAAATGCTGATTATACCACAAATAATGAATACCACTGATGCCTTTTATTTAAAACTGACTTGCTCATGTGTAATTTGGTTATTCCACATTCAGTGTTAATGCAGAAATAAGTTTGTTTCCAAATTTAAAGGTTCAAAATTGCATTTATGTTGATAAAGAAAATGTGCAAATTTGTCGTCACTTTTTCAAAAATATTAAGTTTGGCCCTCGACTCCGTCCCAGAGTTTCATTTCGGCCCCGTGTGAGTTTGAGTTTGACACCCCTGCTCTAACCCAACCATGATAAATGACCATGTGTTGAAAAGCTAGTTAATAACTGGTTGTAACGCTCTTAAATGATTCAGCTACTTCTGATACCTGCTATCATCTCCGCGGAGAAGCTTTGGCCCACTTTTTTACTGAACACTCTTTCTGCAAAAGACTGAGAAGCTGGCATTGCCAACACATCTAATGCTAATGGTTTCAGGCTGTGATAAAATGTCACATTTTCCAATCCAAAACTCCATTCCTGTTTCACAAGTGATGGACTGTGAGAGCTCTTCCTTATACTGGCTTATCTGCTGTCTAACACTGCACTTGGAAGACTTTGGTTTAGGCTTTGTTTCAGATTTGGAGAGGAACCTAAAGACTGGTTGTCTGGAGGAGGAAGAGGAGGCAGATGATGAAGAGGAGGCGGCGGCGGCGGCGGGTGGTGCCGGTTCAGGTCCATTCAGTTCCTCCAGATCAGAGTGGTTCTCCTGTGTCTGAGAGCACCGAACAGCATACCCTTCTGCCTGCTTGAGCAGCTCCTGAATGTTGTCATCAGCCACATTGAGGAGGTCTGACACACAGTAGGGTTGAGAAAGCAAGCAGCTGCTACAAGTGGGGAAAACGTGTCATCTGAGGGATGAAGTACCCAGGCAAAACGCTGGTTCACATTCCCCTCCATTTTACGGGCTAGAGCAGCAACATCTCGACTTGTGTTTTGTTCCACATCTGCCACATCGGCATGTAGTTTTGGTTTCAATGTTATCAAAAGAAAAATGACTCCACACATCTTCTCTTCTTTTTTACCCGGCTGTTAACATTTTCCTCTACTCCTTCTTCTCATGCCGTCGATATATTCAGTGAGCTTGGCTCCCGCCGGGAGGCCTAGCGTCACCTCTAAACAAAGCGGACTCTGATTGGTTCTCTTCTCACCTAGTCCCGCGTGTTCAATTTGTTGATTGGTCCTTTTATTTGCGTCACGCATCTTTCCTGTCGTCTGATTGGATATTCGTCATTGTGGATTTTCGTCTCGTCTTTCATTTGTTGACTAAAAGTGTCAATCAATTTAATTACCGTCTTCGTCTTTTTCCAAGCTTTTATTTTGAAAATTTTGTTTCATTTTCAGCTGTAAATATATTTTCGTGACGAAAAAAAGACGAAAATATTTTGTCTACAAAATTAACACTGATTGGAGGAAATGTGAGACAAGACTTTGTGTTTTTTGTGGTGAGCAGAAGTTTCCGTGTTAGTGCTCTTCTATGGAGGCCCTCTTCACCCCATTTCTGGTTCTTGTTATATCAGGAACTCAAATCTGTTTCCTAGGATTTTTCAGACGATTGTTCCTTAACAATCTTTTTATAAAAATCTTGGTTGTGGGGATAAAAAGTGGCACATATTGAGGCGTTATGAGGTGTACCCTTCTCTCCTACGAACGGCAGCGACCACGTGAAGACGTCCATGAAGTTGGGCAGCCAGTAGGGATGTGGGGAGCAGTTGAACTGACGGATATTCATCACGTTGTTCTCATACTTCAACACCGCAGCTGCACAAGCACAGATAATACAGTTAAACCTTGTTTAGGTTCCACAATTCATCAAATTTCAGCAGGAAAACAAGACTCTCTCACTTTGGCTAAATTTATGCTAAATGCTCACATCGTAATTATAGATGCAAACATCTTCAAGAGACGTTTGAAGTGTTCTGGCTCAGGCTTTGATTAGGAAAAATTTATCGTTCACCCTAAAATAACTGTCTTTTGCGTGTGGCCTTGTGCATCAAACCTTTGTTGTTGTACACATCCAGGTAGTTCGGAGCAGAGAAGATGGTGATGAGGGAGGGGAAGCCTGTGGTCTGACTCTTCCTGTACATGCGATATCTGCACCAAGAGAGAAAAACAAGCCGCCCACATTTCAGCATCTGAGGCACCACAATGCAGACGACTCCGGAGGTCTTAAACCAGACGAGGATGAGGTGAGACAGCCACGCAGTTAAAATATATATAAAAATAAAAATGGAGCTGGACCCCTGCTGTCGTTGGGAGAAAACAAACCGCTGAGAGAGAAGCAGGAAGTTTGATTCCTAACCTTTTAGTTCCTGAGCCACAACAACGAACGTCTGGAATGGTTTATGTGAAAATAAAGTAATTCATGAAAATGACTTCACTCAGCAGTGGAGAGTGCATTTCTGCTCTGATCAAACCTCAGGTAAACTTCTAGAAGTAAAAAAAAAAGCTTTCATGCTTCGTTCCAAAATTGGATGTTCTCCAGTGGCACCACCAAGGGGTGGCCGGTGGGGGCCATGGCCAACCCAGGAAAATGTATTTTATTTTAAAGGAGTGGAACACTGAAATCTATTTTTAAATGATCTTTTTCTGATCACAATCAGTCACTCTGAGTGTTTCATGCAGGCTGAACATGAAAATAGTCTCCTACACCTATCTCCTGCATTAGCTTCTGATAAAAAGTAGACGGTGAAAAGCTAAGATTAGAAAAATCTGACATATCTACGTCACACTGTTACTTAACATTCATGGAGTCACCCTTCTTCACTCAGGACAAGGAAGGCTGTTGTTTGTTTAACATCCAGGAAACAGCAGAGAATGTCTTGGCTAGTTTAAGCTAACCGTTAGCATTAGCAACTCTACCACACAGCAGAACTCCTCCAGGCTTGTGTTATTCGTGGGGATAAAACATCAACGTTGCAAGCCAGTGGTAGAGTCGCATTGCTGTTTTCCAATCCGGGGAGAGATGTCCAAACATCAGGAAATAAGTCTCCAAATCCTGTTGTCTAAAAGCTCAGCTGTGATGTGGGTAACTTTTAGGGCAGTGAAACGGTGCATCGGTATACCCCTCTTCAGGAACGACTTACAAGGCATTCATTCCTACTAGAGAGCACTGCAAATGTATTGATTGGATGAAGAAAATTGTAATAAATATATATATATTTTTAATTAAATAGAACGGAGCAATGCACAGCTGCAGGCTAAACACTCCCGAAGTTACCACGGGGACCAATTCCATGTGCCACCCCAAACATCTTCAGCCTGTCATCAGATCTCACAGCAGTTTTATTTATTATGTCAAAGCAAGCAAAGCTCAGATGAAACTATTAGCTTCTTTGCTTCATCGTGATGATAAAGATCTCAGTGAGTGTCACTTCTCGTTTGAAACACCCTTCTTTCCCATAAAGAGTAAAACCGTAAAACAATTCCTGAATGGCAAACGAAAGGCTGTTAATGGTTCACAGAACACCACGGCTCTCAGAACAGTCCAGCCTAATCGCATCGCTCCATCTAGAGGATTTTCACCAAGATAATAGATGCCAGGAGTGGATTTGAGGATCAGATGATTGTTTTTGGCCCATCTCAGCTCCTATGGGTTCCCTGAATTCTGTTTCAGCAGCCTGTGTCCTCAGTGATAATATTAGTTTACGGACCACCGAAAGCAAACAAAAAAAAAAAAGAATCGCTAACACGATTCATCAAATGACCTACAACACTGCTGGGTTGGTGCCGAGAGCCCTGAACTTACCCCGCGTCCTGCGCTTCATGCGCTCTGATGATGGACAGCAGGTTGTTGGTCTGTAGGAACTCACACACTGCAGGATAACTGGACAGAAAGAGAACATTTCACAATAAATACACAGTAAATATGCCGGGTGGCTGGTTTAAAAGCAGAATTATAATTAAATAGTGGATGAAGACCAGGCCTGTTGTGTCCTGATTCAGGGTATGACTGAGACCAGCAGGGGGCGCTGCCTCTGAGCTGACTGGGTCTCCTAAACATAGAAAATCAACACCAACACCAACTTCCACACACCAGGAGCACAGCTCAGACTCCATCTGTCTCTCCGCTTGCTGCTCCTCCGTTTTTCCAGCTTTCATCTTCCGCTCCGACCACCACTCTCTCTCCCTCGTTCTCTCGCTGTATCTTAATATCACTCCGTATCTGGCAGGAGTAGCCAGTCGTCATAGCAACAGAACCGTGCAGTCTCCCTGGGGATTGTGGGATATCTTTTCATGCTAGAACTGAACTGTGTGCATGTGTTTGTGAGTGTGCTGCGTTTACGCGTTTGCTCGCACGTTTGCCGAGCCTTTCTGTTTCTGCTACAAATCCCAGCTGCTGTGGATGCTGGATGAGATCAGATGTGATGTGGGCCTGCGTGTGTGTGAAGCGTTGCTCTTTCTCATCCCAAACCAACAGCTCCACCTGAAACTTACTAGAACCTTGAAAGGTAGGAGAGCACCGGGTCCGACCAGCACCCAGAAGACGAGGTGATCACTGAAACTCAAGATGATGATCTGTTACTGCTTGTTGGGCTTCGTCTGGCTTCTTTACGTGTCCACCCAAGTTATTTCTCTTGAGCACACAATCCATTTGATTCCTCTGGACCAGCAGAACTCAAGTTCTATTTTGATTTGCAGCAACAATAATGTGTAATATTTTCTTTCCATACCTGTAGAAATAAGAGCATCCTCTGACTGTGTTGTGCCCAAAATACTCCTGGGTCTTCTCGTTGCCAAAGTCTTCCAGGGGGTCGGACCATAGCAGGTCACACATGGGCCCAAACGCTGGGGGCTCCTTAAATCGGTCCAACTGGGTCAGACAACCAACACAAACAGAAAAATGAGCATAAACAAGACAGAACACCCCCAAACGTGTGAAAGAGTGCGACACGCTCGTGTTCCAGTCACAAACACTCGTTTAGTGTTCACCAGATGAGAAGGAAGCACACAGAAAATAAATAAACACACACAAAACACATACTGTCAGAGCAGGGCGTCTCCATGGCAACCCTCACCACACAGCAGGGAGAAGATGTCACACCAGCAGATTCACCATGGAAACGCTGCCATTAGATGAGGAAGTGTGTACTTTGTACTACATTTTGGGGACATCTTTTCACATTTAACCTGTAACGTGGGGACACTTGGCTGTGCTTGGTTCCAGAGGTGTGGTGTGAGTGAACTCTGAGTTAGGGTTGAATGGTAAATGACCCGTTTTTCTATAGCACCTTCTTCTTACAACCCCCCCAAGGCGCTTCACAACACAATCATCCACCCATACACACACACACACACACACACACACACACACACACACACACACACACACACACACACACACACATCCACACACTGGTGATGATGGGCTACAATGCAGCCACAGCTGCCCTGAGACACACTGACAGAAGCAAGGCTGCCGAGCACTGGCACGGCCGATCCCTCTGACCACCAACAGCAGGCAAGGCGGGTAAAGTTCGCAGACTTCTCTGGTGGGAGCCGAGATCCAACCTGCAACCTTCTGATTGCTGGACAACCTGCTCTACCTCCTGAGCTACTGCTGCCCCCAAGGTTAGGAATAGATCAGTATTGGTCAAGGTCAGGGTCAGGGTCAGGATTAGGCATGATGCAGTCACAAAAATGAACGGAAGTAAAAAACAGGTCCCTTCTAGAGTCGCAGCACCAGCACTTCTGCAGTTTTCCTCAAAATCCTCACCATCAGTCCAGTCCCACCGTGATTCACTCGCTGTATTTGCCCCCTCTCCTCCTCCCTCCCCTGTTCCATAATTAACCCTCTGGAGGCAGGCGTTGCAGATTTGCAACATTAACACCTGCCTACCTGGTTACTCCACAATGTATTTCATGAGCATTTTTAACTTTGAAGTATAGCCCTGAAGGACTTAGTTGTTCTTCCTTTTATCAAAACTTATTTTGAGCCTGAGAGGGTTAAACCTGCACCTTTCCACACCAGTGTGATGTCAGTATCGCCATCGGTTCTGTGGTTGAAATGTGTTCCGCACTGCCCAAGCAGCAAAAGCATGCACACTCATCACCATCTCACTCTCGGTGCACAGGCTGAGACAGTAAACAAGTATGTACCCAGTAGCAGTTTTCAACATGGGCAACCTGGGCATCACAAGGGAGGCGGCATAAAGGATAATAATTATAAATAAAAAAGTTAAGAAAAACTCTTTTTTTTATCTAGACCGCGGTGCCCGAATGTCTTGCTGGTGTATGCATCTTTTGGAAAACAAAGGCACCGATCAGTCGTCTATCCAACTGATTCAGGCTTCTATTGTTTTTTGAGACAGCGCCCTCTAAAGGACGAGTGTTTAATTGCAACTGTAGATTCTAGGGATGCAACGATACCACTTTTTTTCAAACCGATACGATACCTATACTTGGATCTGAGTACTCGCCGATACCAATACTTCTTCTTTTGTACATTCTTGCTGTGTTTGTCTTCAACTTCCTTTTTTGGTTCTTTTTAAACACAGGAAAGGTTTTCCTTTACCTTGCTGACGGTTTGATTGCGGCTGCAAACATCCTCAGAGCTGACACTAATGGTGGCGTCACTTCCTACTCCGTTTATCGGCGGGCAGCAGAGGACGTTGTCGCTGTCTGCTGCCCGCTCTCCCCTCTCCGATGATGCAGTCCCATGCGCGATCCAATGTGTAGACCCCATCATCTCTGTTCATGGTCCCACATCCACGTCTCCTTATCTCTATGACATAAGACAGAGGCAACGTCCTCTGCTGCCCGCTGATAAACGGAGTAGGAAGTGACGCCACCATCAGCGTCAGCTCTGAGGAAGTTTTGCAGCCGCAAACGAAACGTCAGCAAGGTAAAGAAAAACCTTATCTGTGGTTAAAAAAGAACCAAAAATGGAACCGATACTCCTACCACACAAAAAATGCTACGAATTGGAAATCAAGTTTTATTTTATTCTCTGCTTTCAACAGGAAAACACTGTGAAGTACATAAAAAGTAAAATATATGAATAGAAATGATCACAAAACTAAAATATTAGGTGAGCAGAAATGACAAGTTACAGTGAAGCCACTTTGGTATCAGTTCCTGGTGTCGGTTAACTTTTATCGTGCATCCCTAGTAGATTCTAAATATCTGGAGCGTTTATCTTATCCAATGGCACCATCTAGTGGCTGACAAGCATATCACTCAAATAGTTTCTTCAGTTTTTGTAAGATGGCGACTTCGCGTTACTTATTTATAAATGTGCTTCTGTAGCCAACAAACGGAGCTAAAACACGTTGTTTTACGAGTATTATTCTCATGTCCTGTTGTGTTTTCATATATTTATATTTTAAAGACTTACTTGTCCGTGAAAAGTTCATCAACTCTGCATATATTTAGGTATTTCTTAAATTTGAATCACGTAAACGGTAGTCTAACGCTATTGGTTAGTTCTGGTTGACGCTCAGTTTCCTATTGCATGGAGATCTGCGGGGCACAGGGCGTGTTTTGCAAAAAAGAAAATACGTATTTCTTACATTATATCACAGTATATGATAAGATAATCACTTTTAAGGATTTCTGAAAAGTTATACATAATTTCTGAAAGGGGAAAACTCCGGAAATTTACTTTAAATCACATTTCATAAGTAAACTTTTATTGGAAATTAAAACAACATTAAAGCAACAAAAATGTTTTATTAATGAAGTGATTGTGACACATTACATCAAAAATTTTAAATAATTGTCCAGTCTTGTTCCATCTAAGTGAAATATCTTTACTTTACATACACACAATACACAGTGGTGGAACATGGCTCCTCTAACCAATCATTGGGTTGGACAGGATTGAGGAGCCATGTTAAACGGCAGCTGCTCACTTTCCTTTAATGGGAGGATATGAAAAAAAAACTTGAGAACTAAAATGATTAAATAATAAATTCCATTTACTTAATTACATTTATTTATTTTAGCTGTTTTGTGTACTAACTATACTTCTACTTTACTCTTTTTCAGTTATCAGTAATCCAGAGAGCATCAGCTTCTCTGTTATTCATTCATTTCATTTTAATGATAATTATCCCAGCTTGTGCGGATGATTTCCATCAGAAACACAAAACAGTATTTTCTTTCCAGAACAACTTTACACACACATTTTAAATAAGATGCACAAACCTGAATCATCACAGCATTTGCTTTCAAACTTTTGCAATTCTTTTAGTCCAAAAAACAAAACTAAACCTTCCTAACATCCATGTTTCAGCCTCCCCAAGCCTGTCTCCCAGGCATAGGCCATGTTCAAATTGAGCAGCGCCTCGCCTGGAAAACAGACGAGAGCAGACGGAAGCAGCAGGGGGAGTGGCTGAAAGCCGACGTTTAAGTCGGACAGATTTCCCTGCATGTGTAGCTCGCGGATGACGATGGCTGAAGATGTCGCGTTAGCGTTCACACTTGTTTAATTATTTATTTTAATTCTGGTGCCTGTTAGCAGCTGAAACACATCCTCACGTGCTTGTGGATATCATATATTGTATATGGAGACATGACTGTAATAATAAATAAAGGTTAGCAGCTGTAGCTTCAGTGTGCTCATAGGAAACGTGACAAAAGAACAGAAAACACATTTCTCTTTATGGCCTATATAGTTGTCATCAACATAACATGATTTACAGAATACATGTGACCAACTATCATTTTGTATTCTACCACCGGATGTTTGGATCAAAATATGAACCAATCAGATCTTAGATCAGGTGAGAGCCAGGCGTTTCCCGTCATCCTCTAGGTTTTGCAGCCAGTGGAGAGCAACTGCAGCGCCTTGCTCCAAAATCTGCGGCCGCCTTGATCTCACGAGGTTATCGTTGCCTACGTATGCATGACGTCAGAGCAAGTCGGCGTCAAGTCGGACACAAATCTAACCGGCATGCACTGCTCGCCGTTCACCGCTGGTCTAATCTGCTCAGAACTGGCTCATCTCGAGCACAGCCATAGATATCATGCAGGCTGCTGAAGGGCTTCTTCTTCTAGGGAGACTCCAGCAGGCTGCACTACTCAGCTGCGCCCTCTCTGGTGGACTTTGGTACTGTATGCCACTTTTAAATGAGTCAAAATTAGATTTGGGGCTTGAGCCCTATAGTAACCACCCCTAACCCTGCCCCTGGTGCTCACCTGTCCTCAATAACACATCTGCCTTGGTGGTTCGGTTGCACGCTCCACGCCATGCTTTGGACCTGCGGTAAAGTCCCACCTCCTAGTTCGATTGACAGAAACAGGCAGCTTTGTCCACACAATTTATGCAAGATTTAGACTCGAAACAGGAGACTGTCAATAATTCGGGACACAAGTCTCAATTAGCGGGACGTGAGAAAAGTGATGAAAATGCGGGACTTTCCCGCACAAAGCAGGACATCTGGTCACCCCACTCACAAAAGATCGTTCAATGCACGTGTCACGGAAATCCACCATTCATATTCTCAGATTAACTTTTGTTGGATTCACATGAAGAAGGACAACGACCATTTTCACACAAAGCTTTTCTTTCTCTCACACTTAGCAGCAAAAAGGAGAAAATGAAATGGCCTGCAGTCATATAATCCAACATCCCTTTTCAGCATTCTGATTAACTCCTACGATTCTCTCCCAGTGTCGTAAATTGCGTCCATTTGACTGGGTTTTCCTTCTTTACCAATCGGAGAAGCAGGACGATATCAGAAACTGGTCTGTTTTACATCCACCCGTCAAGACTGACCCTTACCCAAGATAGGGGTGGTCGAAAAACTTCTCTGAGGTTTTCTTCTTGAAGCTTCCACACTTGAGTCCTTATAAAACCTTGTATTTCTG